CCCGTGACTTTCTCCATCCTACTCATAGCGTGATCTACAAAAGCGACCTTTTCTTCCGGGATGACCTTTCTGGCCACAATATGAGTGGTAGACAACACGTCAAATCTCGAAGATTTTACATCTAAACAACACTTCGGTCCCTTGGCTAACACTTCCTCCGACTTGCGTGTAAATGCTTCCCCACATGGATTTACAGGAGACTGTCGGGACTTGCACCATACATCACCCCCAAACCACGTTTTCCGAACCCCATTATTTACAATTTTCGAATTTTTTAGACTGTCCATTACATGTCTGCGCTTCACATACCGTAATCGGTCGAACAGGGTTCTTTTGGTGCTGGTCCAAAGACCATAAACCTGAAATGCCTCTCCGTGCAGTCATTAATGAGAACGGAACTTGGCAGAAAGTAGTTTCAACGTTTCTCCAGCGAGGGTTGATATCGCTAAACGTGTTGCCATTTAGTTGTATTTACAAATTAAAAATAGCTCAAACAGTTCGTAAAATCATAGAGTCCAATGAACCCCTTTCTTTGAATTTATTTCGATCTCCCAGGAGACAAACAAGGGTTGCAGCGAATTATATGTTTAATTTACCGCCATGCCATAATGCATATGGACAAAGGCTGATAGAATTTTGTGGTGCTCTAGTTTGGAATGAGATACCCTATTAATTCTATTATTATAAAGTTGGAAAACAACTTTCTGTCCTCCTTAAAACGATTCTTTCGTGATTATGAAATGCAGTTAAGCTAATTACTTCCTAGAACGTGATTTCTTTTTTCTTTTTTTTTGCGCATTGTATGAGTCTATTGTATTCTGCCGCTTTTTGAACCTATATTACGATTGGACCCCTGACTAGCCTGAACGGCTATGGGTCCAAACAGTCTTTGTGTATTTTGAAAGCAAGTTTGAAAATAAAGCATTGAATGAATGAATGAATGAATATATGCATGCCTAGAGAATTCATTGTCTCTCAAAAATTCAAATGAACGGATTGACATGTTGGAAAAGTTTCATGGGCAGCAAAGTTCTGTTTTATCCATGAATATTAAGGACCTTTATTACTCCCTAGAAAAGACTCAGTTGATGCAGAGAGTGAGAGAGGCATTGAAGTTGAATCTCGTAGTTCCAAGCAGGTCCAGGTTATCGGTAGAGAGTTTGCTAACGATCCTCGAGGTTTATCTGAAGTCGACAGTAATCGAATACGAGGGAAGGAAGGAAGTTAAAAAATACGGTGTTTGTATAGGTTCGCCGGTCGCACCGATTTTAGCGGAAGTTTAAACTCCTTGGATCGAGTAGTGCATAATGGACTGCAGGAAAAGTCCCGGGATATGGACGACATCATAGTACGCACAGTAGCGGATGATCTAACAGGCCGTCTGGAACGTGAGATAAGATCAGCGGCTCCGGAATCGAAGTTTACCACGGAAAAACCGGAAAGAGGGAGGGGTCCTAGAGTTCCTAGACTTACGTATTCTTGTGAATCAAGGAATATGTTGCGAATACGGAAAAGAAACTTCTAAACCGGTGTTGCCAAGGATTAGCTGTCATTCGAAGATCGTAAAAGCTGGGGTTGTAAAGTCGTTGGTCAGAAACGCGCTAGACAGATCGTGTGTTCATTGCATCACGGGTTCGGTTGAAAGACAGTGCAAAAGGTTGATCAGTGTAGGGTATAAAGACAGTTTTATCAAACGGCAGTTAGAAATGGTTATCAAAGGAAGGAGAGAAAAGGAACAAGGTGAAAGGACTACATTTGTCGTGATCCCATATTCTCATGAAATTTCGCACAACTTGAAGGAATGCGCGAAAAAGTTTGGAGTAGACACGGTCTTTAGCTCGGATTTTAAACTCAGTAGATTGACACCATTTCAAACAGGTGCGAATAACTGCAAAAAGAACCATCGAGAAAAATCGGTAAATTGCGAGAATGCTACGTGTTGTGTATGAGATACCACTGGAATGCGGGTTTAAAGGGCAGACATCACGATGCATCAACGACTGATTAAGTGAACACAAAATAAACGTGAAGAACAATGCACCGAACTCAGAAATCGCAAAACATGTCCACGAATGTAACGACTGCACTGCGATTTGGTCGGAGACAGAAATCATTCACAAGGAGAGGAATGATGTAAAAAGACTAGTAAGGGAGACGGTGCGCATAAAATCTCTAGGTAATTGCATAAGTCGGGCTTCATACAGTTCGTTCAAAATTCCAAACGTTTTTTAAAAATATATATTTTTTTCTTTTTGTTTGGATGTGTGTACTGTACACCTTTGCCCCGTTTTAGATTCAGTGTGTGTCATCCCTTCATCGCTGGCATTAAGTTTTTTGTTTTTGTTTTTTGTGTAAAGAAAACATGTTTTTTTTTTTTTTTTTTTGGGGGGGGGGGGGGCGGGGGAACTGAAGTAGGTATGATTTTTTTGTTAAATTTTGGGGGAGATTGTAGAGCTATCTTTGTGAGTCGGCATGACTACTTTGTGTATTGGAGGCTTTGGCGTGTGAACTGTTTAGAGCTTGTCTCTTTGTGCAGGTTGTGGCTGATTGGAAGGTTTGGCGTTTGAACTGGTTAAAGGTTGCCCCTTTTGTGTTCGTGGTGGCTGGGACTAAATAAACCTGGTAGCTGAGTTTGAGACGTCGTCCTGTCCTTATCTGTTCCTTCGACTTATTTGTTCACTTCTGGACCAGTATCAGGTTATTCAACATGGTATAACTTCACCAGCTCGCCTGCACCCTTACTATATTATCTCTAATATTTATTTACTTGGCACTGGGGTGATTTGCAAGGTGCATGAGCTTCACCCTATTTATTGACGGAGAAGATACGTAATATTTAGACTCCCGGACAAACTTAAGCCAAGAGGGAAAAGTCTAGGTAACCCGGCGTGAATCACTGAAAATAGAAATTAAACCTAAACACATGACTAACTGGTTTAAAGCCTTATACGCTACGAAATGCTCCTTATTTTACGAAAAGGTCCGTATGTTCACAAAATAACCTTACCTCCTAAGCGTCAGATTCTAAATCGTACTTATCTATATGCACTAAATTTCTGTTTGACATATGAAAATACGACAATTACATATCAAGTTCGGTATTTCAAACTCAAACCTGAAAGGAAAAAGCCCCAGAGGAATTCTCTAACGGTCTGCATTCCCCTTAATTTAAAGGAAGTAAGCGCTGTGCCCGCACTTGTGGATACGGACTTCTAAACTTTTTATAAGTGCACCACTCCAAATTTCATTAATGTTTATGGTTGGATATTGAGATAGCTGCTAACGAGAAATAGAAAACCTTACATAGGCCAAAATTCTGCTCAGCAGAGCGCCTGTGCGAAGTCCCGTTCAAAACGCTCATATCACGAGATTAGAATCTTAATAGCGGCCATAGAAACAATATATTACAATTTCTGTCGGTAGTTCCTGTTAGACTATCATATTACCTAACTGTGAATAAAAAATAAAATAAATAAAAGGTGTTTTTTTTTTAGAAAATCGACTCCAAACTTGCCAGTTTTTTTAAGTATTCGTTTTTCAGGCACATGTTGCGCATTATATATTTATCGAAAATATTCAAATTATGCTCAAAAGAAAGAGCTTACTTGGACCTTTACGGTGATGTAAAGATCATAAAAATATGTTGATTAGGTCACACAGCACAGCTTGCTAAACTTCGTCAAAAGCATATGTCTAGAGTGTTCCCAAAAAGTTATATTGATGTAGCGTAAAACGTAGGGAAAAGGGATGGAGTGAAATATGGCACCCCCGATAAGCTGAAAAAACGTAAGTATCCACCTTGGCTGCTTTCAACGGTCCATAACTTCAGAACAAAAAATCCGACGAACTCGCCGTTTGTGTCTTCTTTTATATTAGGAATTGCCCGATAAGATATGTTATTGTTGTGGTTTTTTCTTTTTTTACGAGAATTAAAAGTTTGATCTAAAATTTGTGTCAGAGATGAAATCGCCCTTAGCGAAAAGCTGCTCCCCCCCCCCCCCCCCCCCCTTTCCTTCTCTCCTCCCTCTCGCACTCCCCGTTAAAGGGATGCTGAACCGAAATTTTGGGTGGAAATTCTTGGTCGCAATGGCAAACATAGCATGTCCTTTACTTCTAAATGACGTTGTTTTGAGCGAGAAGGCGTATAAAATTGAATAAACACGAGAAATACAATTTTACACGACCCCTGGTGAGCGTCGTGGAAAGCTCGCTTCGTGACGTGCGCATTCTCATTCGCCTGAAAAGACAGACGGAGCCAAGCCAAGCCAGGCGCTAAGCCGGGTGGCGTTTGTTATTGTTAGTACCACGCGGGCTCTGCCCGCGTGGTACTAGTACCAGCCGCTTTGAGAACAGCCGCCAAGCGAAGAATCAAGGCGAGCACCAACGAACGAAGGGAATGCGCGGAGGCACCAGGGGCGCTGGGGGCGCCGAGAATGCGCACGTCAGTTCCGCTACGCCTGCTTTCAGAAGGACTCGCTCGCGCCGGCGGCTTCTGGCCGAGGATTCGCTCTTAATTCAAAGAAATACAATAATTCGGGCCCCATCCGTCTGATTGAATATCGTTTTTAGGTACAGTACCATCCCGTGAAGCCCGCTCGGGCAATAATTAGGAGATTTCAAATATCGGTTCAGCATCCCTTTAAGTAATCTGCGACCGAACTCAGAAATTAAACGACACTCAAGAAGAAATTAAAAAAGTACGAGCGCATCCTGTTTTCATTCCCGAACAACCACGGAAGAACGGAAGCGCTTCCAGCGCTCGTTTCGGCCGTGGTTTCGGCACTTCAGCTCGGCATTTGTTTGTTTCTTTTTTTATTTTTTTTAGAGGGAGAGCTTAGTTTCGCTTTGCGCACATTGTTAAAATATACAACAAATACTATAAGAATTACTTTATAATTGTCAACTCGTATTTTATGGTGCATAATCAAACTCAATGGATGGTTTCTAGAGCTTGAAGCATTCATTGATTTATTCGAAACTTCGGCTAAATATGCCTGTTTGCTATCCGTGTTTTGATGTCAGGAATAATGGCGGTTGAAGTGATCTGCGGTGTTAGCGCAGAGAAGTAACGTCCGCTGCTTGGCCGTGGATGGCCGTAGAGTGATCATTTCTTCGAGTTTCCGATGGCGAAGTGAAGACAGGAAAACAAGGTATTTGCTGCCATAGCTTTTATAACATTGCTTTCCGCGCCGTGTTTTCTAACGTACCTCACTGTGTCGGCCGCCACAAAAGGCCTAGAAAGGAGTCGCCGTACCCAGCATTTTCGCGTTGGAGGGTAACCGTTGTTGCAGCGAAAAAGGAACGACGCATGTGTCGATGTCTGTCGCAGCAATATATTTTCTGCGAGTTCATTTTTGAGCTGGTGTTATCGTTTGTTATAGTTATGGTTTGCTTGTTTTGCACGCGATGAAAAAGTCGGCTCTTCTTTTTTTTTTTTTTTCTTTTTTCGCCCCTGCTACGTGGGTCATACCTCGTTATCATAACTTCCGTTTACATTTAATGGCGGTTGATCTATAATATATCTTTAGTCATCAGTGTCTCTTTGAGAACCAGTACGTTTGTCCAAAAGCACGTAATAGCTCTGGACTGGCTGCTGGTACTCGCAGGAACTTTAAACCTCTCCTGGGCAGAACACGCGTGGCGGCGGGAAAGGTGGTTACATAACCATGTCGCGATCCTTGGTTGCCCTGGGCCTGGCTGTTCAGTTCTGGGTTTACGTTCGCCGGTTGCACTATAGAAGATTCGCTGCGGAAGCTAACGCTAAAAGTCTTGATTTTGTTGCGAACTCGAAATCTCGGTAACAAATAAGCACGGCTTCGGACTTGTATCCGGCATTGAATCGAACAAACTGCTTCAGGCAATATTCTTCTTGGCTTCTACTTTGCCGACAGCCGCACTCCGAGCTCGTCGATTACTTGTGTAACTTGGGATGGTCCACGAAATTGCGAGATCCAAAAATCTTTGGGAAGTTAATTCGTTGCTTGAGCCATTAATCGGTTAGCAGCTTGCCACTCTCAATTTTCATACTTAGCGTACAACGCTGTCAGAGCTTGTGGCGCGAGCTCGTGGCATCATATCCGGATAGGAGTCCCTGCAAGTGAGTGGCAAGATTAAGGTGCGCACTCGCTCCAGCAGTTTGGACTGTGTTGTACACTAATGGCTGGTCTGTACATTTGTGTTGGTTGCCTTTCCTGGAACCAAAACGACTGGGACAGTCATGACACATGATGGCTTTACGAAGTTACTTCTTCCATTGCTGGCCAAACTGCATAAGGCGAGCACTTCTCCCTGTGACTTTGTCGTTGCTGTCGCATCGGTCGTTTTGAACACAACTGACTCAACCGTATTAGCCAGGCTTAAGTATGATAGGCAGTGTAGATAGAACCGATAGCCATGTGTGTTGAAGATAAGTGTGGAACCCATCTGTATCGAAAACTGACATGAGTAGAGGATTGTAATAGATTATCGATCAAAAGATAATTGGTTGCCATGATGGATATGACGCAAAGTGCTTGCTTATGGACCCCAGTAGGCGGGTTCGAATCCTGGCTGAAGCACCCGTATCGTGCGACTGGGTCTCATTTACACATCGGGAAGTTCTCGACTGGTCTAAATTAATTGTCTGTCTTTCACTTTCAGCCTCTGTTGTTTGGCTCATGTGACCCCCAAGCTTTTGTTTGATTTTATGGCGATTGAAGTTAATAATACTGAAGTTGTGTCCACTGAGGAAATGGAAAGGTTCATACATTCCTAGATAGAGACAACAATCATGCAGATTGTTGTCTCTGTCTATTTTTGTTTTATTTTTTTCTGTTTATGCATGTTTGTTATCTTTTGGCATTGGAGATCTCAAGAATAATAAGCCATCTGAGACAGATCTTCCTTAATCAAAAGTAATATGATATCTAAAACATAATTATGACCACCAGAACATAGCAAACCACATTTACTCAAAGAAGACTTGAATGCATTGTCTCGCTAGGTTAAACAGCTCCTGTGCTTTCCGGTGTGTCTGATATCACGTTCCTCTGCTTGTCTTCGGGTTTTGGTTTGACCTAATTGTTTGTTGTTGCACACACACAACTCTGTAAATAAAATTATAGGGACAGTGTTTTGGCAGCCTATTCTGGCACCTTGTGCTACAAAGCAAATATTTCTTGTGTATCGAAGGCTCCTTAATGGGGCACAGCAACAACTTTTTGACTGGTTTTTAATTTGCACCGAACCTGAGCGCAGTGAATGTCGTAACTTAATTAAACTTTTCTTTTCTCTAATTTCACTTTATTTTAGAAGTTATGGGCAAATTACAATTACAAAAACAAGCAAAAAATAACCTCCTTCATGACGTCCTTGGTCGCTTGAGTGGCCGTGAACTAGAGGAGGGGTAGTGAGCTCAGGGAGTGCTCGCAGCTGCCACACTCCGTGTCGATGGCTTGAGAGGACACCATTAAGGCATGTTCTGGATAGACTGGATGAAGCGGGCGGGCTCCTAGGGTGGCTCGTATTGCATTTGCTGTGCGATGGATTACTAATTCGGCATGACACTTTATTGGTCACAAACGATCGCAAACACGGGGTAAAAATCAGTTCAGAACGGGAGCCACTTTGCACTGCCAAACGGCAAGCCAAACCTGCTCTCCGAAGGCCTTCGGAATGCTCGGAACCGGTTGAATCCTCGAGCCCATATGACCGCAGCGCTGCATACATCCGGGGCCTTTCTACGCTCGCCGCTCGTCAGTGCCTAATCCCACTACCCCTTTCTAGTTTGCGCCGCCTTTTTCATCGCTTGGTGGCAAGGATGTTGATGGGTCATTTCTTGTTTTCATACTTTATAAACTGCATTTGTTTCTTTTCTGATCTAAAATTGAAACGGTTCGCGCTATTTATATATTGTATTTCGACTAAAAAAAGAAAAGTTTTTAGTGGCTTTGACCAGTAGTAAGGCCAGGACCAAAAATGTTGTGATGTCGTCGCATATGGCGCGCTTTCGGCACCGCAGGTTGCCCCCGTAGGTGGAGGAGGTTTCCGCGTCGTCTGGTTCAAATATGACGCACTGATATTTAGTTACTCTCTCTGTGCCCACTGGCTTGCCCGAACCCCAAGAGATGCTGAAACCGCAAAAAAGGTAGACGCCTAAATATGATTGCAGGGCCTCTTTAAATAATTATTCATGCAAAAGCTGTAAGAATGTGCCCATTCTTTTCTATGTAGGGCCAATGTTAAGATTTGCGTGCACCATGTGGAACGCATCTCAAATCAAACAATGAATCAAGAAACGTGCTGCTTCCTGTGGCAGCACAAACCATTCTTTAGGTGTGAATAGTATAATACAGGCTCCCATACTCCATCCGCTAAGTTGGCAGGGCAGTGGAAGTGACATGCTCGTTGGAGCAATCAACCATCAGTCTTGTGCCACATTATTATGCTCTCTGCACACACTCTACGGTATAGAGGGGTCGGGCGAGAAAAGGCAGACAGTTGTTTGGTCCTGTGTCCATGTTGCTTCCACTTCTCCATAGACACTTTGCACACATGCCAGATTACAGCCGCCATTGCTTACCTTCTCTCGCCTTGCAGAGATACCTAGCCACTGAAGTGGGCATTGACGAGCGTCCACAAAGGCCAATGCTGGGGAGAGGGATACAGTTGAATCTAAAGTGGCTACAACCTGCCCTGCTGTGGTAAAGATGAAGTGAAGTAAACATAAAAAGAGGAAACAATAACTGAAGGTTGGTTATGGCGGCACCCGTGCACGGCTGCTTCAAAACGTCTATAAGCTTAGTGATGAACGGAGTATAGGACGTTATTCTTTGGCATATTATCCGAGGAAAAGCTTTCAGTTATAAAGACTGTTTGTGGTAGAACGAATGGTATGTAGGGCCGTTTCTGCTTTCAGTATGGATGAATTCAGAAAGACAACATGTTAAAAATACCCTAATTCTTTTCCAGAATAGTGCTTCATACATTAATTTGTTTAGTAGAAAGCCTCACTAGAAAAGCTATTTGTGTGTCAAATTAATGCATATCTTTATTGTTATATCTGCCTTCTACAATAATGCCTGAGAGGTGCCTTTGGGGGCTATTTCTTATGTACTCATATCAATGTGAGATTATCCAGAAAAATTCAGTCAATCGGTATGTAAAGTATAGTTTTTATATTCTTGCCTGGTTGCATTGAATTAAGGCACTGTTCTGTTTCATAACGTTCCTGCGAGCGCGAAAGGTTCGATACCTGTGTGTGCGTGGGCCTCTGTTTTTTTTTTTGGGCTTTTGCCGGTCCCAGTGCATCTGAAAGCTGCGTTGGTTTTGTCACCAGGGCTGCCTCGTCATGTCCAAGTTTGGGGCCAAGACTTACGGCCGCAAGCACGACGTCCGCCTGACCCCGCAGATTGACCAGATTGTCCTGGACAAAGGGGACAGCAAGGCAAGCTCTGCCAAGATGTCGGTAGCAGCGGTGCACCGATGGGGCGTCACTTCGTTCACATCTCTGCGCAAGGCAAGCCAGGTGCACCCTGCATCTTTTTTATCAAACAATAATGCCCATAGTCGTCGACGGTCCCTTGTGAAGATGTTCGTTTGTTGTATTACTCGTAAGAGCTTGTCCTTTTATCCAGGTGTAGCTAATTGCATTATTGTTTATGGAGTGTCTACCTCACACACTGACAAACACAAAACTATGACCTCACTTTCGTCTGCAGGCTCTTCGATGGTGCCGCTTGGTTGCAACCATGGCTTGGGAGAGGGGAGATTGATTTTGTTCTATCATACTGTATTTAATCTTTTCTCACTGTTGCCATGATCTCTTAAATATTTTTACATTGGGACATGTAAATGCAGCATGTTTGGGTTTTACTTTTCGATTTAGCTAGTTCTGAAAACAAAATTATCAACGATGCTTTATAAAATGCATGCAAGTTAAACACTATATGACTTGAGGACATGTCTTGTCAAATTTATTTGTGCGTCGTAATATTTCAGGACAGCAATTATATGGTGAGTTTTAAGGTAAACACCTTTTGTGTTATTTGGTGCATTACCTGCTGGCAGGAAAACCTAGATTTGGATATAATTCTTTGTCTCTTGAATTTACAACAACGAATTTTGCCATTCAGTCTGATCTCCACTTTCTTAACAGAAGCAAAGTAGGCATATGTATTGCCGTCATTGTGCCGACGGAAGCTACACGGAACTGACGCAATTGGCCGGATTTAGCAGCCTAACGTCCCCGCTATGTTTAGCAGTATGCAACTACGGGTCCCCTGGTCAGGGGTGTTTGGTGCCACTATGGGTCACATTGTCATATGGCTAGTGCCACATGAGGGCACGCAATCATATGACACTTCTCTGGTCACACGCTGTCGCAGCGCAAAGTTGCGCGATGTGCCATCAAGTTGTCAACGACGTTATTAAATCTACTAGCGTCGAGTCACGGTGTGACGTTAAGTTTTGTCGCACGACCACATCATGGGATGTCAGGTCACTTGGCACACGGCCCGATGGCATGTCACACGTCAGGCGGTCAAGTCCTCAAAATAGTGTGCATGTAGTTAGTTGTCTTTGTGTTGCACCCAGTTTTGCACGTATAACACTATTGCGTTCTGTATATGGGACGTATGGGCGGTAGATTGTAGGAGTGCCTTAATTTTTTCCCACGTTTGTTGCGAGTATTGCAAGAATTTCGTGCCATTGACATAATAAAAGTAAACTCTCGCAAACCCTTTTATTTTTTCAGGCAAATGGCCAGACCGCTGAGGCCAGCGACGAAGAGCCGTTGCCTCTCGACTCGAGGGAGACCCTGTGCACGTCCGCCTTCAACGAAGATCCCTTCAGCTTCGACGGGGAGCAGGAGGAACTGGTCACCTCCGACTTTGTCGTCAGGGGCCAGTCCTCTCGTCTGTCGAGCTCGCTCCAAGATCAAGCCAATTGCGTGCAGAAGACAGCGCCGAAGCCGAAGAAGTTCTTCAAGAGTCGCAACAACACCCTCTCGTCGTCCACCTCCCTTGCCTCCCAGACGTCCGCACGCGCCGTGGCGCAGTTTGACAAGTTGCGGTCTGCATCCAACTCCGTGACCTCCAGGTCCAGAGACGGCAGAATCGAGTCTTCTCAGAAGCCGTGGCCAGTTCCGAGCGACGACAACGTGGACTTCCGCTGTGTCAAACTGGAGAAGATCAGTCGCGCCGCTGCGCTGTCCAAGGACTTTGCTGCGCCGGCCATTCCCCCCGTGTCGGTGCGGCCGCCGAGTTTCGTCGTCCTGCCTCCAGCCGTGCAAGCACCACAGGGTCTGCAGCCAGTCGGGGAGGAGGTCAGGAGGCGCTCGCCGAGTCCCGAAAACGAAACGCCGCCGTTGCGTGGCCCCTCGTCGGCGATACGGACATACTCGAGAAAGAGGAACGCCGAAGCGACAGATCTGTCTGCAGGAGCTGCTCCAGCAAAGATGGCTCCGGTCGTGCCGCCTTCCCACCCGAGTTCGGCGACTTCATCAGACCTCGTGTCCGGATCCAGCAGTGTCGTGTCGCCGACGGTTCCCGAGACGAACTCGGACACACCGCGCGCTAACGACGTCGAGGAATCCGCGGATGACGGCTCCCCAGATGCGAAGCTCGACGACGTAGCCGGGGGTTCCGGTGACGCAGCACCTCTTCTGCCGGAGGACAAGCCCCCGGAGCCAAAGGCATCTTCTTCCAGGTGTATCTTCAAGAGCAAGAGGATATTTCAAAGTCCAAAGAAGGTGAGGTGATGCCGATTGCGGTTCTTTTTTAAAGCGGTGGTGTCATTTGGGAACCCTTTGTGAGCCTTGCTTGCTTATGTTGGTGTTGAGGGAGAGTGTCGTCAGCAAGGCTGCAGCTGCTAGTTTGGTGTCATAGAGCGCACAACCAAGGGCATGGCGCCGCACGGAGTGGAGTCAATGGTGCGCCAACACTCCCCTCTCTTCTCCCCTTCCACTGAGCGGGGGCTGCATAGTAGCAGAACAATTGGTAGGAAATTAATGGAACAATTAGTAGACAAGGATGCATTTCAGAGAAAATTATACAATGCCTCCAAAGAGCTGCTTAGATGAACAAGACGAGAAGTCCCTTATACACTCATAATTTCTTCCTTTCGCATTGCATGTCATTCCAATAGCAAGGGCCCCTAAATTGAAACCTCATCAAGTGGTGTTGCATCTTCATTAAAGCCTTTGATCCGGGCCGGTGGGCTGGGGCGTGCAGGTATTCCGTCTATTGGGGGGGGGAGTGAAATCAGATTATTGCCTCAGACTTAGTGTGGAGCAGAGGCCCTGGAAGTTCGGTTGGTGTGCATGTATTAATGCGTTAGCATTAGTACCTGCATGACAGGGAAAAGCTGATGGCGTCCGCCTGTAGAGAAAACAGTGGAAAATGAAATGTGCCATGTAGAGAGGAGGAGGGTAGTGAAGGACAAAGGCCAGAGGGAGGCGACGTCGCAGGGCGGAAGCTAATGCTTGCAAGGCGGGCAAACGAGACAGAAAAGCGAAAGCAGCATCTTGCTCGGCTGGCTGAAATGTGATGCAAAAGCGGCAATCCTAAGCAGGTCTGCGGCGAAGCGGGCTCGATAAGCTCACTTCACTGGAAAAATTAAAGGAAGATTTTTTGGTGGATCCTTAGGGAATGCGTTCATGACCCTTGGGAAACGCCACACACGTCCCCCTTTGGGAAATGCTAACGCAGAACCCGTAACGAAGCCAAAAAGAGGCAGCAAAAAATAAAGGAAGCAAAAGAGAAAGACAAAACAGAAAGACAAAACAGAAAAATGAAGGGGTCAGCATTAGCATTTCCTAAAAGGGGACATGTGTGGCGTTTCCCAAGGTTCATTCTAATGCATTCCCTAAGGATCCATAAATGAATCTTCCTTTAATTTTTATATAGAATGAACCGTGTCACAGCATTCAGTTATGTGTGTAACAGCTAGGCTTGTGTGCTTTCTGGCTTAGTTTAACAGCCAGGTTGCATGCCTGGCTAGTTTTTTATATATACCAGACAATCAGCTTTCCCAATTTCTAAAAATGTTACACTCTAGTTGTTAATGCTTGATTTGAGTTCGCGACTCTAGAATACTACGAGAAAATTTAGGACCAGTTATATCTAAGCAAATTTTTATAGTGAAAGGTGCTCCTAAGGGAACCTCCTTAATGATGTTGCCTTGTCTTGCTCCGCTTTGTAGCCAAAGGCAGTTTACAAGATGCGGCATTGGCAAACGCCAGATTCCGAAGAGGCCGAACAGGAACAGGTGAGTGTATGTGCACATCCATGCAAAAGAAGCACGGTACTATGTGTATACCCTTTTCTGAATTGCAATTTCACATCGATGCCTGACTACAGGATGCTCAGAGCAAGAGCACGCTTGCTGAAGAATTTGAAGATGACCTTTTTGATGAAGACCGCCTCACAAAGGAAGTTCACCAGCCTGCCAGGCCTTGGCAGGATGCTGTCACTTCTGTCAAATGCCCCCGAAAGGCCAAAGAGGTGGGTCTCCTGTACTGAAATTTATTACACCTTAGGGATATCGCTTTAGGCACCATGTACTTTCTGTTCCATCATGAAGCACCCATTTACAGTGTAGACCGCATATAACGTATGTTGCGGGAGTCGGGAAAATCCGCACTATAAGCGGTACCGTGCTATAACCGAAACATCAATTTTTCAGGCCAAAATACATGCCATGAGACAACTTGCCTTTGTAAAAGAATTTATTTTATGTTAGATGAAAAGTAAAGTTTAGTTTGAGGAAAGTCTTTATTCCACCAGACTAGTACACTTCTCTCTCAGGTGTGTCACACATTTTGAAAGAAATGAGCGACTTTTGCCTGGCGCAGCCTTTTAACGGCGTCGCGGGTTGCGGACGGACGTTGCGAGCGTTCAGGATTGCTAACCCTAATCACTTTTCTCCGGTGATGAAAACGCGTAAAACTTCGCATCCTTTATACGGTACGCTCCAGTATACCTTCAACTTGAGCACAGGCATGAAATGCTCCAAATAAGAAAATTGGGCGATGTTCGAAAACACTAATGCTTAGAAAGCACCACTGTAGTCGAAGTAAACAAACACGAAGACACGGGCGTTTCTGCCGTCTTGAGAGTGCCGCCACAACATCGCCGCACAAGTAGGTGGATTTTCTCTTCTAGTACGTGCTGGGTTATCATAGCGACACACAACGAAAATTCAGTCAAGGATAGCGCTTTTACGCGGAACGATGAGCATCCACCACTCCGTTAAAGTAAACTAGAACGCCGTCTACGTCGACGATCACAACCGACGCCATGTTTGCGGATAGAAGCAGCCGGCCCGCGACCGGCATGCAACGCGCGCGAACACTTCTCCTCGACGGTTGACCTGCGATTGGTCTGTCGTTGCGGTTGTTTTGAACAACATGTGCCACAACCGGTCTCGACGCGCGCGTGCGCTCGAGCGTCGAGATTGGCCGTGCACGTGTGTACGTCCCTCCGTCGCTATGGCAATTGAAGCCTCTCTCTTCGCTTCTCCCCGCTTCTTCGAGCAACCTCCTTGCCCCGCAAGTGCCGCTTGCTGCTCGCGCCATTATCTAGTGTCGCACAGGGAAGCGTGCTCGCTGCCCCGGTTGTTCCGGAAACCGGACTATAACCGGTATTTCCCTTTGCGTGCCTGCATTTTAAGCGGTATGTAATTACATGGAGTTCTATGGGAGGCGAACCGGTGGTTTAAAAAAGCCGCGTTGTACCCGGTCCTGCACTATAAGCGGTTACGTTGTAAGTGGTCTTTGCTGTATTTCACCAGACTAGTACACTTCTCTCTCAAGTGTGTCACACATTTTGAAAGAAATGAGCGACTTCTGCCTGGCGCAGCCTTTAAACGGCGTCGCGGGTTGCGGACGGACGTTGCGAGCGTTCAGGATTGCTAACCCTAATCACTTTTTTCCGGTAATGAAAACTCGTGAAAATTCGCATTCTTTATACGGTACGTGCCAGTAATACCTTCAACTTTAGCGCAGGCATGAAATGCTCCAAATGAGAATTCCGGGTGATGTTCGAAAACACAAATGCTTAGAAAGCACCACTGTAGTTGAAGTAAACAAACACAACGACACGGGCGTTTCTGCCGTCTTGAGAGTGCCGCCACAACATCGCCGCACGAGTAGGTGGATCTTCCCTTCTAGTACGTGCTGGGTTATCATAGCGACACACAACGAAAATTCAAAGTCAAGGATAGCGCTTTTACACGGAATGCTGAGCTTCCACCACGCCGTCTACGTCGAGGATCACAACCGACGCCATGTTTGCGGATAGAAGGAGCTGGCCCGCGACCGGCATGCAATGCGCGCGAACACTTCTCGACCTGCGATTGGTCTGTCGTTGCGGTTGTTTCCAATGAGCAAAGGGTCGCACGCACGTGAACGACACATGCGTGCCTCCTTCCGTCGCTATGGCAACTGAAGCCTCTCTCTTCGCTTCTCCCCGCTTCTTCGAGCAACTGCCTTGCCCCGCGAATGCCGCTTGCGGCTCGTGCCATTATCTAGTGTCGCACAGGGAAGCGTGCTCGCTGCGCCGGTCGGTCAGCGCGGTCGGCGGGCTGTTCCAGAAAGTGCGCTATAACCGGTATTTCCCTTTACGCGCCTGCATTTTAAGCGGTATGTAATTACATGGAGTTTATGGGAGGCGAACCGGTGGTTTAAGAAAGCCGCGTTACACCCGGTCCTGCACTATAAGCGGTTACGTTGTAAGTGGTCTATACTGTACCACAATGCAGCAATGCTGCACTGTGTCATGTTGGCTACGACAAGCACAGCTGACACTGGCACTAGCTATGTTGAGTACATTGCACTTTTTCTTTCTGTTCACCCTTTGGTCAACCTTTTCACTCTACTCACAGGCAGTGTGCTTGACTTGTGTTGTATGTCGCTGATGTCGACATGTTCAGCATGTGCAATGTGAAAAAGCATGGATAACAGTTTGGTCAATCGCGTCCTACCCGGATCCGCAGACTTCGTATCCACATACAAACCACATCCGCAAAGCTTTCAAATAATTATATCCGCATCCGCAGACTTTGTATCTCCATCTGAACCACATCTGCAAAATTCGGAACAGCATCTGAACAGCATCCGACCCTCAATCCGCGGATTCATTCTATATCATGAAATCAATCATGAATAAAAATTAAACAAAATAAAGCATCTGGATGGTATCCTATGAACCGTCTGCTTATCTTTGTACATGACACTTCATGTCAAAATACGGTGAGTCATTTAATCATATCCTATTTCATCATATTTATAAAATAAGCGATCAGTCTTCCAGAGGCACTTTGCATCGCTGGAAAGATGATCACAGTTAGGAGGTTGTTTTGAGAGTTTGTGACACTGACACTTTCTCCAGAAGATGAGCTCAAAAGGAAAAAAAATTGTAATATTTCTTTTTCTTTTTGCTTCTTAAAACCCACTTCAAGAAGATGCATATTTTATAAGCATGAAAAGTAGCAAAAGACAGAACAATAACATTGTGCCATTTTATTTAGGCCAAACAATAAAAAAGTGGGAGCGGAAAGGCGCTTACTTACCGCAGCAAACTACTTGTGTATATAGAGTAAGGCATGGGTACACCACTGAGAAAATATCACAATATTCAATAATGGCAATACCCCCTATCGGTTCAGTTTTAAACACAAACCCTCAACTGCGTGCTCGGAACCATATACCGTATTTACATGAATGTAGGTCGACCCATTTTTCAATTATGAAAATCTGTAGTGGGGGGGGGGGGGTCGACTTATAATCGAACCAAAGCATTCCACTGCCGATAAAATTGAAGGAATCGCGATATCAAGGACACCTTGGCTTATTATGCCCGTGTCCCACTAGAGCGACATTCAGAAACAAAAGACAACGACAAGCCTCAAACCAGGGTCTTTCGCAATTTGAGAGGCTTTGTAGAATAAAAGAGGCTATGCTCAAACACGAGCATCATGCACCTGAGGGTATCTTTGGCAGGCTTGTGATTTCTCGTGCTTATTTCAGGAGCACCGAACGACTAAACACCTGCCAAAGGTACCATCGCGAGCATGCTGCATGGGTTTGAGGATTGTCGCTGTCTTTTGTCTCTGTCTGTCGCTCTAGTGGGACACGAGCATTACGGGTTCAGCCGCCTGTACCTGTTGCATTGCACAATTCTTTGCCTGCAATTTACAAATTCTTTTTTTTTTTATTTGCGCAAACGAGTATTAATGATTGCGATGCGCAAATTAACCCGAATGTACAGCGTTGAACAGCGCGCGGCGCGCCCGGCTTCGGGGGGTAACGGCACTTCTTGTGAGAGCCACTCTGGAGGCCTCTGGGACTGCCTCACGTCTCACTTGGTTCACTCCCCGCGGCTTATTTTCGCAGTTTTCGCACGGTGCACGTCGTTTGATCGAGTGTCAAGATCATGCTGGAGCGCTACGATTTTTTGTATTGACACGCGTGATCCGGGCAGCTAGGTTTTCGGTGTAGGTTTATGCCCATTCTTCAACCAGAAGCAACCAACAAGTGCGCCGTTCGACGCAAGTTCGACCCGTCGAGCGGGTAATGCTCCAGTGGAGTCTGCAATGGCGCGGGATCTTAAATTGAGACAGCAAACAAAGAGGCTTCCACAGGCCAAAGTCTGGATAGGTGGGCATGCCTTTCGGAGTTGGCGATCAGCCTTGCAACGTACGCCGCAAAAGTGCGCAATCGGTCCCTACTTGGACGGACGTGCAACGCGATCGCCAAGCAAGCGCGGAAGATGCGGTTGATGCTGTAATTTGCGAAGTGCGAGATTTCGTTGGACAACGCCGACGGCGTGCTTTGAGAACATAGCAGTGATGACGACGGGACTGACATTACTGACATTACGAGTAAGGGACGAGTTGTAGTCTAGTCAGTCTAGTCGCGGACGTGAGAACAATAGGGAGCAGCTTCAGTTGTCCCGCCTCCAGTGTGAACTTCCGAGTTCCAATAGCGCCTGGATATCTCGTGCAGCTTCAGTTGTCCCGCCTCCAGTGTGAACTTCCGAGTTTCGATAGCACCTGGACATCGCGTGCATGCGCAGCTAAAGGCTAGAGCAAGCCAGAAGGCATCGATCGTGTGTTGGAGGCTGGGCTTTCAAAAGAGATACTTTGCCGTTCTCACGTATTCGCAATAAAATGCACATCTAAAGCTTTTTTTTTTCTTTGCCGATGTGCAATTTCGGGGAGGGCGGGGGGGGGTCGATTTACAATCGTGAAAATACGGTACTTAAAAACAACCGTGTCAATTGTCAAGAAAAAGTAAATGCACACGTATGCAACGTTTCACCTGTCGAGGTTGCTGTGTAGAAGAATCAGAATTTCGTCAACATGGACGGATTCAGACTGGTTTGCCTCTCTAAAATTTTTATTTTCGCTAATGAGAAGCCTTTCTTTGTTGGTGACTTGATGCTGTGATGCACGAACTGCGCCGCAAGAATAAGGTGCGGAAACTCGTACTGGTGCAAGTTCCACCATTCCAGAGGAGCAAAGTCAGTCTCCTCGATCTACTGCGAAAAAGGCCACTTGCAGGTTTCTTCTACTTGCTTGTGGGTTGTACGTTTGAGGTTTTCTTTGCTCAAAGAATGTTTTCCACTCTTCCCCTGCCAAACAAGAACACGCTTTCTCGCTACGATTGATGCTTCTGCATTCTTTACTTTTTCTAGGGACAGCATGTTTGGCGAGATAGAACATTCTAAAGCAATCTTTGGTGAGAATCAAATCTTTCTTGACGTAAAGAACAATTTTCTCCCCGATAGGCACTTTTTATGTAAGAGAGTAGTTTTCTCCCGCAATACATTCAATGATGCATTTCATAGCATCATTCACTTATTCACTCTACACTGTGCGGTTGCACATGTTTTTGGCCGCCTCGACAAAAATGTAGATTCGGACTCGGAAGATATCTGCATCCAATCTGCATCCGCAGCCCCTGGCATCCGCATCTGATCTGCAATCCGCCAAATCTGATTAATTTTTATCCCCATCCGCCAGTTTACTGCGGATATCCGCCGATAATCTGTGGATATGCAGGTCTCTAATTGTGATTGAGACGTGTTTGTTGGAGCAGACTAATCCGCATTCCTGAGCCAAAAATTAGCGGGGTATATTTAATGACCTCTACGAAGTATGTAGATGTATGTCGCTGCATTTTGCGTGCATTTTGAAGTCGGCTTTGAAAACGTAGGAGGGGTGTAGCATATTAGCTTACACTTTCTTTTTCTGTTGCAGATATCGGTCACTTAGAAATCGCTAGATGTCTACCCCCCAAAGGCGAATGCACTTGTGCCACCGGTGTGCCAGCCACTTTGTGCCTTGCCAGAACCACTTTTTTGGTGGTGCATCACATTCATGTCTGGATTACTGCATCCAGCTCATCAGTGACTGCAAAATGACTTCTTTGCAGAGATTTCCATGACCCCAGATGGGTGATAATCACTGGGGGCCAGGTTGGGCCTTACACTTGCGCAACTTAACGTCTGACGGGTCAAACAATGCATTGGAAAGATGGCCCGACTCGATCGAACGCCTGCCATTCACGGCCTCACATGAATGCATGTGATGCCGGGATTGGCCGGCACCCGATCCGGTTGGGCCATTTGTCCGACGCGTCGTACGACTTGTTGAGCATTTGGTTGTGCCTGTGTAAGACCCGACTTGGCCTCCAGTGATTTTCCCCTGTTCTGGACCATCAAAAGCCCTGCAAAGAGGCCATTTTGCAGTCATTGATGTGCTTCAAGCAGTTGTCTAGGCATGGGTGTGACGCTCTACCAAAAAGTTCTTCCAGCAGGGCACGAAAACGCTGCCACACCAGTGGCACAAGTGCATTTGGCTCCGGTGGAATATACAGAAAATATTGGATACATCATTGGACATTGGACGTCTTAAGTGGCTGGTTTCTGCAGCAAAGGAAAGTGTCAATATGGTGTACTACAACAGATGTTCATTGTTCCTGCATAAAATGCTGTAATTGCTTGGGCAGACATTGTTAGACGTATCAAAGCTTGTGAAGCACAAGCATTTGTGCTGCATCCATTTGGGGGGGGGGGGGGGCGTCATATGAGCATTTATACCAGGTGGGCACGCCATGTGGGCTACGGCATGGGGCGAACATTACTCGCTGCAGGTAAAGTTTCAATTTGTTTTGTGATTATGGTAAAGCAAGATTGCACAACAACATTTTACTTCCAGTTGAACATTTGTATCTCTATAACTAAACAAATATTTGAAGGCCAATTATTAACACAATTAAAGCTGTGGTCATACATGATCCCAAGATTTTCCGTATTGAGGGGAGTTCCTCTTTAATAAGAAACTTGAGGCAAAACTTGGTAGGTGGTGTAAAAGGCTGCATTTCTAGAAGCATACAACACCTAAATGCTGAGAAGTGTACTTGAGCGACAAATGCTGTCTTTGGTAAGGATAATCATTGAACTGAAATGCAGCATGGTGAAGTGGTGCTTCCAACAGAATGTTAATAGAAAAGTACCATATTTACCGAGTTTACAGTATCAGGTTTACCTAGTTTACATTGACTGTCTCGCAAAGAAAGCACACATATCTACTTTCCTGTGGAGAACACAAAGGCAGCTGGGAATGGAGTAAAAAAATTACGTGAGTAAGACTGTTCACGTGTAGGAAGGCAAAAGCCAGTCAAGGGTGCTAGGATGACCTCTAGGACAACCTTAAAGGACACATGCAAAGAAAAAAAACATTTTTTTTAGACAGCTTAGATGGAAAAAGGATGTCATAAAACAATTTTACAACGAAGAAACAAAATTTTTAGAGCTATATTTACGGCGCTATACAAATTTGTAGTTGGCGCTCGCGGGAGCCGCCGCTGGTCACGTGGTAGGCCCGCGTGCCGCTGCGCTGCGTCGCCGCCGCACGCTGAGCGTTGTGCGAACGCCGCTTCAACGCGTTTCTCCACGCCGCCGTCGCCGCCGCCGCACAAGTTCGTCTGCTTCGGGGCGCCGCCGCCGTCGTCTGGCCGGCGCACAGGTCTATCACGTCTGCTTGCGCTTTTTAAGAAGTTTCCTTTGGGCTCTAAAAGTTACCTATTTGTCTTCTTTTTTTGTTATACTTCAAACAAAGATTAATAAGTTACTTTTAGAGGCCATAGGAAGCTTCCGAAAGAGCGCAAGCACCACGTGATAAATAAAGACCAGTCACGTGATAAATACAGACCACTTTTCCGCGGTGCCCGCGGGCGCCAATTACAAATTCGTTTTGCGCCGTAAATATAGCTCTGAAAATGATTTTTCTTCGTTGTAAAATCGTTTTATGGCGTCCTTTTTCCATCTAAGCCGTTTAAAAAAATTTTTTTTTTCCTTTGCATGTGTCCTTTAAGCACAACGTCGAGAACGATGCCTAGAGGACGACGTCTAGGATGACCTTTAGGACGACCTCAAGAATGACCTCTAGGATGACTTCTAGGACGACGTCCACAACGATGCGTAGAGGAAGACATATAGGACGACATCAAGAATGGCGCCTAGAGGAGGACACTTAAGGAAACTGTGGCGCAAACGTAAACGTTTCAGTACTTGTCATGTTGCCGACGTGTTTTCGCTCAAGAACATTGAAGGTCGACTGAATGATGAGACATATAAGGCTTTCGCCCTAATAATGAGACTCTTTGACTGCAGAGACAGCCGTGGGTTGGTGACTGACGAGGCACCGATAAAATGGAGGGTCAGAAACAGGATCCATTCCACGATTTGTAACACATGAATGCCATACCTAGTCTTCCAGTTTGTGTGGTTTTTTTTTCTGCAATCCTAACTGGTACTTCATTCTCTGGGTTACTTCTCTCAGTGGCAGTGATTGGCTCTCCACATTCTCTGTGTAAACTTAAATATGCTTTGATCATAGAAAGGGTTGACCCAAAGTCTGGTAAGTATGTATAAGACAACTTACTTAAAGGCCGACATACACTTCGCGCTTTCCACTTCTTCCCGCTTCCTCCTTTCCTATATCCTCTCCGTGTTTTACTTTGCCCCAACTTGACTGGCCTCCCAGCTTAGGAGAAGGGAGCGCTGAGAGGATTATCTTCCCTGCAGAAAACCGAGGTTGGTACGTCGGCCTTTAAGATTGATCTGGGCATTTTCTTAAACTTCATACTTTATTTGATCATGTGCTCTCGAAGTGCTTTACGTGTTTGCGTTAGCAGTTCTAGCTCTTTTAGAAGTGCCACGTCCTGCTGTCCAGTGGCTGACATTTGTCTCCCTCCCTCCTCAGCTGTACACCGTGGTGCGGAATGTGAAGCAGGCCTACCAGTGTCACGAATCGGGGGAGACGCAGGAGTTCAATGACGACATTGATTACCTCCTGGAGGGGGTGCAACCCAGCAATCCGATTGCGGCCAGGTGCCTCAGGTGAGCCCTCGGACCACGGGAAAAGAGACATCGGGGCCGGTTTGGTGATCGTTGCGGGTATCTAAACCGGTGGGCAAAACAGCTGCAGGAGGGATTTCTAGGGTACGGGAGAAACTTTCTAGGGTTTTCAGCCGATCTCCAGCGGACTCAACTCTCGCCTGTCGTTCGCTTTCATTCTTGCTTAATACGACCTCCCCCAGAGATAACTGTAACGTGCTGCTTCTAAAGTACACAAATGCCAGTCGTTTTACTTTCATTTCAGGCCTCCTCACCTCTTTGCTGCACGTTGCAGCCATTTGCCAGCAACGCTAATTACCCTTAGTTTCTTGTCCCTACATAGTGGGTCACGTGACGAGAGAATTCCTCGTGCGGCTATTTTACCTGCTGGTTCAGATACGCACACAGGTCACCAGATCGGCTTTTGGGTAAAAAGACACTTAAACTGCAAGCTTCTTTTTTTTTTTTTTTTTTTTATAATACTTGTTGGGAGAAGTTGTTGATTTTCGCTTGCCTCCGCAAACGGAGCTAGTCAGTAATGCTGCTGCAAAGCATTAACTGATCTGCAAATTGCAAATTGCAACTTTTCCGGACGTACCTTCAACATTTTCTTCACCAAAAAGATGTGATAAAGCAGCCTCCGGATCAGCAACACCCGACTGCTTGGTGCGGAAGGTGATGTGATAATTTCTTTACTCCGTTCACCCTTAACTGACAGTGCGGTGGGAGCTACGCGCTTGCTGATCGATCAGCCGCTTAACCTTCGTCCCATGACCCTGTTTTGTGCATGTCGGTATGGGCAGGAATTTGAACCTGTGGCCAAAGATAGACACATGACTGGCTTCAATGAGCTCATAGCAACCGCTGCACTGTCAGCTTAAAGGGACCATGAAATGATTTTAAAATCGAGTTTCATCCACCGCACGTCGTAAAAAGTGTGAAAAGAAACACAAAAATAGGGAGCCAAAAAAAATTATTTGCTATAGAACTTTTAAAAGAAAACTGGACTCTTTTGCGCCTTCCTTCCTTCGCCTGTTCACTACAATGCATCCGCGGAAATGGAGCACGTCGGCCAAATCCAGGTCGCCTATTGGGTAAGAGCCTACCTCACCAGCACCGCGATCGTAAACAATAAATAGCCGGCGAATGTTTCCTAAAAGTTTTGTTAAATAATATTCAGATCCACATTTTGTAGCATAATTAGAGATGTGTGGCGAAAATTGCCAAATTTGATAATGCTGAGAGCCAGGCGCCATCTATCGTGTGGTAAACGAAGCAACTACTGCGCGTGCGCAGTAGGGTAGGGCCGACAGTTACTTGGGTGGCGGCCAGCGACGAACGTTTATTTTCTTTGTTTTCCTTCCTCTCAAAACTCTGACTGACTGAACGTTTATTTTTCTACGTGTTCTTCCCGCGCGTGCCGACTTCAAGCAGCAAGAAAACAGTACTTAAAACAGATCACGACGAACAAGAACGCTGGATCCACCGACTCCGACGAAGCGTATAGGCCTAGCAGGCATTCCGACTCGGCGCTGCGTTGCTTCGTCGCAAGACCGTCTGCCTACGATCGGCTGGCGTGCTAAATGGAATATGCCCGCGCGACCCTTGTGGACCCTTCCCGTATTATAGTTTGATCACTGACCTCAATTCTAGATTAAGAGGTGAGGTCAATCTCTTCCCCTTGTTTTCCGAGGCAGTGTTGACGAACACTCGTCGAAAAGGGACTCTCGTCGATTCTATCTTCTTGTTTTGTGTGATATAGAGCTGAAATAAACGCCGTATGGATTACCTTCGTAACACGGTATGTACACTTTGTTATTGGTATGCCATTTTTATTCTGACAGGTCGTGGGAGGTATACTTACAACCCCGGTCCAACCTTTCTTTGCCGAGTGTCGCGTCAGTATCGAGTTGCAATCGTAAAAGAACAGTCCTGAAGCGCTTACAAACAGCTCGAATACAAGACTTCCATCAAGCGCGCGCGTCCGCTCCGAGTGTAAACAGGTATTTACGTGGCTCTTGCTGACACTCGTAGTTCAAACGTATCTTTTTTAACGTCGGCTCGCTCCTGCATCTCCGAGGCCGCGAAAAACGCCATCTACGTCGCTTTGCAAACGACTGACACGGGCCGGCCCTTCTGCCAACAATGACGGGGTGGTTGACTTCTGGAGTCTTCACCGGAAGACTCGCTGCACTTCCCAACAGGCATACCGGCGTATGGGTCTAGTCCCATGCTGTCGCTGTAGCGCAACATATCTCATTGAATTTCGCTCAGCTGCGATGCGGCGATGAGAGGCGCCGATTCAGGAAATACGTCGGTGACATCAGCGCAGTAAAACCTACCGGCGCACCCCAACTCGTTGCCGCTTACACTCCCATTCGCCTACTGCCGAGAGAACTTCCGGTTCCGGAAACGGCCTACGTCACGGCTTGTTTTGCGGTCAGTTGGAGAGAATGAAAAAGTCGATATTTCAATCATTTTTTGTGTAGAAGTTAATAAACCGAGACGAAAATGGATGCCTGTTCGGCATTCAGTGAACATTGACGGTTTAATGTAAAAGTTATCTGGAAAAAGCAAAAAGGTCATTTCATGGTCCCTTTAAGGGTGAATGGAGTATGGGCCTATCGGTTTCATGATTTTCACAATTTTACTGTCTGAAAGCATACCACAAACTATGGCATATTTGTTGGCATCAATATATTCGATGGGAAAAACACCTCATAGGGCTAGGTAATGCCTGAAACCGAGGCTTATTGGCCATACCTGCTGCACAACCACGTTCACTTCTGTAACCTCTGTGGGGACGGTGCAGTGACACTTGTGCCGGCAGCCATGCTGGCTTGGTTGAGCTCAGCTTGTTCCGTATTTGCCGCTTAAATAGCTTGGGCACTGTCGTGCACCGTGCTTGTTCCCTCTTTTTGCCAACTACTCGCAGAGATAAAAGCAGTAAAGTGTGCACGGGTGCGATCTAAGCTTGGTCAGCATAATTGCGAGGCACATGCTCCTGGAGTTGCTGGACTTGTCGGGCACAGAAAAAGACCCTACGAATTAACCAGTCCCAAAGGTGAAACTTAGTATTACTGCACATTGTTTCCCCTAAACTTGTATGAGTGGTTGTCGGGATGGCACCTCCTGCTTCGAACTAACCGAAAATTTGAATAAAGTGACTTGGAATTATTGAGAGCCGATTGCACCCCCAGGGTTTGCTGTAGGTGTGTGTTTCTACTACACTTGCATTTGGGCAGCTGTGACATCTTCTAAAGAAAGGAGCTTGCTTTCATAGCTTACACTTTGCTGAGGTAAGACGGAGTAAAGCAGCGTAAAAATTCCGTAGCGTTCCCTAAAAAATGTTAATCCTCTATATCTTGGTAAAACATTTGTCTAACTGGTGCCGTATTTATTGGTTGTGTGTACACATGATAATATTACAAAAAACAAGGTGGCATGAATGCAGTTTTTTTGGTTTCGAGTGAAATCTGATTTCAGCCATTACCATAGAATACCGCGCATCCGCCCGTACCACACTAAGTGCCCATAACCAAATTTGTAAGATCTGAGAAAATATGCACAGTACATTGATATGTCAAATTGATGACCGGACAAGCGCCCATCCCCCATTTTTTCGAGATTGTCTCTAAATTTTGAGTGGGCACTTGCCTGGTATTTTATGAGTATTGGAGTTGGTATTAGCTCTGTTATTTCTTCACGAAACTGGAAAGTGACAGACTTTTGTTTTGAGCTTTTTTTTATAACTGTTTTCTAGACTTTTACAGGAGTCTGGTGTTTCCATTCAAGACAACCGGGTACTTTTTACAATATTTCTGCAGTGCTAGCAAAGACACACAGGCAGACACCCCTCTTTCAAGATTGTACTCTGTTTCACTTTAGGTGTGAGCATGGCACAAGCTACAAGAGCGAGCTTTGGGCTTTCAGCGTCCCTACCAAGTATGCATGCTTGCGCTGTGCAAGCCTTGTTCAGGGTCACATGCTTGTGCTTGGAGCTTCTGCCCCTCTCGCTAAAGCGAAACTGAGTATACGTCCCCTGCACAAGGGCTTGTGCGAGCAAGACATTCCTCGGAGCTATAATCTCGTATCCATGCAACTTGTAGCACAGAGTATTGGCCTCAAGATCGACCTAAAGGTGGCGCTACCGTTGCGCTATCATCATCATCAAAGCGGGGATACGAGAACGGCCGCCCCATAGGCTCTCCACGTTCGCGCGCGAGACGGCGTAGATTCTTGCGTTTATTTTGTCGCATACTATCGGTGGGAAAACAATTCTTGCGGAAAAGGATGCAGTACTGTTCGGTGCTTCAGTGAAAATCGAATCGTGTTGCCAGCGTGCGGCCTAAATTTATATAATCGCTTCTGTGGGTGCGCCGTCTGCTCTACGCAGACGTTGGAAAGCGTGGATCACCACGACTGATGCCTGTCTCCAGCTGAACTGGAATATTTATGTTAAATATTTGTTTCTTTTAAAATGGATGTATTGGTTCATCATCGTGGGAATTAAAAACAATAATAAATTCCAACCCAGATAACATAATCATAGAAGCTGTGAAATCGCAGCTTCTATGATTTTTTAACTTCTATAGCTTTTGCAGCAATATACATATTTAGAATAAAGATAAGTTAGCGCTGTATTGGAAATTACCATGCTATTTAGTTCCTCTGCCCTTTTACTGTGCGATAGTGTGTGTAAGTTTTTTTGGAGTCTGAACAAATCTACTGCGTTGCGATGAGGAGAGAGAGTCTCTTCCAGTTAAATTCTGCAAACTGCACGGTTGACAGGACAACTGAAACAAGTGAAACAAACTCTTCTAATATATATGCCGTGACTGTAATAAACAAGTGTAACCGAGCAGCGCAGCAATGTTCCTGCTATTAAATGCTTTTCTCGGTAGTGTGGGTTCACCCGCTTCAATTTTCTTGGTGAGGGCCGCGGATGTCAAGAGGCTAATACTATAAATTTCTGGCTATATAAGTTGTAGCGGCAGCTCTCGGCAGCGATCTAGCGCTTGAACGGCGAAGGGCCCCTCGATGAGGTAGTAAAAAAGAACAGTGTAAATATTGTAAATAAATATGTAGAGTGTGATTTACCGAGCCTCTGCTCCTACATAATTTTGTAATCAAACACAGTAGACTTTGCAACCCAAACAAACGACGCGCACCACGACAGAGACAGCATCGGCCGCAGCGATACTCTTTTACTGATGAGGGCTAGCGACCTTCACGAGACTTTCCGATCACCCTCCGCCCTCACCCAACGTATATCCGGACTAGGCAGTTCGTCGATTAACTTTCAGATTATTCAAGGAATGCTTTAATTGCAATTTTTTTTTGCCGGATAGTTGGAATCTTGTGCTGGAGAAAGTCAACAAGGAGTAAAAAATGCCTGCTTCAATATTTTTTACGTCTTTATTTCTTTTGTGGCACAGGCTTGCACGGTGAACCACTTCAGCATGCTTGTCATTTCGCCGAGGGTGATTACACTGTTTAAATATAAATAATAACTAAAAAAATACTTCATTTTAAAAGGCTTAATTCCCACGTTCATATTTATGTAAGACTCACAATGTAAAGTTTAGAATGGGAATGCAATATGCCATTTATGGCATAGTAAAACCAGTAAAAAAATGTGTAGTTTTAACCTCTTTCACGCATTATGACCGGCGAAAAATCAGCATACGGATTCATTGATTGATTAGTCTATTAAAGGATAACGATCAGCCTGGTTAATTTTCTACTCGAACCACAGACCCACTCAAGATTCAGTGCTTTATGAAAGCCACGGTTTGTGCGAGATAACAAAAATATGTGGGACCAGCGATTGTATACAAACCAACACACTAAGATTATGGAAGCTTCCGACTTAATAATAATCGCTTTGCTGAATTTTTATCCATGGGAAACGATACAACACAACCTTTAGTAAGAAGAAACGGCAACAAAAACATAAAAATTTAATAAGGAATGTCAAGCTCAGCCTGAAACTGGCTTGCATCGTCGAGATCCATGCTTCCGAGCGTGCCCGTAGCAGACGACGCACGGCGGTATCCCCGCTTTCGCGCGTTTCCGATTTCGGCCGCACGGTGGCGACACGGTTCGATCTCGAGGTGAATACTGGTGATTTTCTTTTTACTGCTGGCTGTCAATGGTGGGTTTTGGAAACCACGATGCAGTTTTGGAACAGTGCTTGTTCCATGAATAATTTGTTACATATAGGCTAAGGGAAACCTTCTAAGGTTAAGTAAAATTGGTCTGCATCATCTTTAGTAAAGGCTGTACTCTCAAATGTCACACCACATTTGGAACATTGCAGGGCAATTCTTGGTGCTTGAGGCAGCTTTTCTCTTAAACAGGGCACCTTGTTTGTACCGAAAGTTTCTATAACAAACATGCCTTTCCTTTTATTGTATCTGTGGGCTTTCTTTTCTTCTAGTGTGGTGAGCTTGGCATCCAAGTGCATGGTGCCAGCCTTCAGGATGCATCTACGAGCCCACGGTATCATGTCCAAGTTCTTCAGTGCCTTAACCGACGCCCCATCTGATCCTGTGAGTTCTGAGGGCGTTTGGGCTATTGTGAGAGATTTGCAGCGGGCCATGCTTAGGTATATTTGCATGCCTGTTCTTAAGGTTGGGAATAGCAGTGAGCCATGCTTATATTTGCAGGAACTGGGGAAATTGTCGAAGAGTGTGCAACTGTTCGGTATTGATGAGGCTTTGCTCATAAATTTATAGGTGAAAGAGCATAAAGGGAGAAAAGCCCTGCCCATTTTGACTTGGATGAGCATCATACTGGCATGTGGTATGATGCTTATACTGAGGTCTTTAATGTGATGCACATTAAAAAACCCAGGTGGTGGTGGTACAGCACCAGCTAAATTTATCATCTACACCTGAGACACCAGACACGCACTGAGGTTGACTAACTTCCGGCTGTCTGAACGTACATGCAGCACAATTACAGTGATGGAAGTGTTGCGCCAATTGCATCATAAACGAAAGTCTGCTGCTTCTTGCACCAAAGTGCCCTTTTTGTTAAGAATTGTGCACACCTGTGTCGAGATAGGTGAAAGCAAAGCGAAAAATAAAAATATTTATTATTGCTGGGCTATAATATTCAGAGAAATGGGAGGAAAACAAAAAACTTTCAGCCTTTCCACTCTGGTGAAGAAGGAAGACCAGTGAAGCTGTACAATGGTGGGAATGAAATAATGGCCGGCTGCAAGTTGGCAAGCCAGAGTGGAAAGACTGGGAAGGTTGCCGCCATCTATGAGGGACAGCGGCAACCAGACAAGCCAGTTGTCTGGTTGCCGCCGTTGCTTATAGATGGCGGTAGCTGTCCGGAGTGTTGTGTCGACATTTATTTGCTGGCGGACACGATCCTGGAGAACCTAGCCCTTAACAGCTCCGCTGTAAAATGGTACAGATATGTATTTGACAGCATCTCTACTCGGAGTACAGTCAAAGGCTCGAACACGTACAACCTCAAGCACACATACTAAAAGTGCAAGTCACGGGACATTTGCTGCACCTGATTTGTGTAGTCGATGAAAGAACATGTACAGGAAGATGGACGTATGCCATGATGTCGAACTCTTGCCGCTGTTTTGTTGGTCCCATCGGCTTGTAGCGTCGACTGCGTTTTAAATTAAGGTGAGACGAAGTATAGAAATTGCTCGTCAACAGCACTGGCCAATGGATGCTCTGGCAAGTGGATTGCCGACGTCCAAATTTCCGGACAATGTCAGCGATATGGGAGCTAAATGTCGCGAGAAAGCATTGCAAAATAGTAGGGTGGTGGCTAATGTGATAAGACAGAACCAGAACGTTGTACTCCGGATGAGGTCACTTGATTATTAGTGCGAAAGCATTAACTCCCATGGAGCGGAGCGGGCGGCGTCTGTAACCGCAAAAAATGCGAAAGAAATGCCCATTCTCCCATTGGCTGAGAAAAACGGCTCCTATACTTTGCGACTTTTCTTGGCATTTTCAGGGAGAGGAGGAAAGCCCGTGAGCTTTATTAAGCGCTCAGAATGGGAGATGGAACGCGTGTCTGTACCGTCCACTGCATTGCCAAGAAAAGTTGTCGCGGAGTATAGATAGTCATTGGCGGCCACTTCACGAGAGCACGCGCTCGGCTGCCGCTCTCGTGTCGGGCGTTGCCAGAGGAGGGGGCTGCAGCCACTTTACGAGAGCTCGGCCGCCACTCTCGTGGCATGGGCTGCGGCCGCTTCTGGTGCTCTCGGCGTCAAGGAACATGGTGGCGCCTGAGGCCTCTATATCGTCGGCGGTCGCAACCTCGGCAGTAGTGAAATGTGGCTGTCCATGCCAGTACACCACAGACGAACTAAGGGAGCGGAAGAACGACATTCATGCTTTTGCATTTACAACTCATAAAAAGTGCTTAGGTGTCCTCAAAATTTCTTCTTTTTATGCCTGCCACATGCCTTCGTGCTGCCTCTTATTAGCACAAACCCGTGTTGGGCTTCACTGCTTTGCAACAGAGTGCTAGGAGTAGCGGCTGACAAGAATGAGCGCTTGGGTTAGTTCGATAATCTCGGAGATTATGCTCATTACTATTAAGGGCCTACCTTCTTTTGTCTTGATGGTAGGTTGATCTTTAATCATAAAAAGCTGCATCAAAGAGAAAAAAAAAATGCTGGTCTAGTACTGGTTTAAAAACAGTTGTCAAGGTAGTTCTCATGCAGCTGTCGATTGAAAGAGCAGCGAACTTAACTTCACAAAAGTCGCAAAGCACTTTATTTCACTAACCCCCAGTTGGTCATGAATGGTTTTGCGCCATGATGCTGCCAGATCTCGAACTAGACAAGCTGAGCTGCTTTGATTGATCTGCCCAAAGTGACGGCCGGTCGTTCAAGGACTGGAATGCTTTAGAGGAATGTATAGCTTGTGCTGCAAATGCTGAAACTTTCTTTGCATTGTTATTTTCTCCCCGCAATAGTGCCTTCCAGGAGGTGCAGGAATTTTCTGAATAAAGAGTAAAGGTGAAGCTTGATCCGCAGATTCGCAATGATTCAGTTTCTACTTTTTTGCTTTTTGCATCTGATGCATCTAGAACACCTATTGTGCTGATTTCAACAGCTGCACTCGATATGAGGAACCGTGGCTGTATGTGAGAAAACTTTGCCGCTTTCCCACACTACGTGTCGTGGCAAGGGCAATGGTAACAGACTGTTCCGCGTGTTATTTTGCAGCGGTGTTGAGCAGATTAAATTGGTATGCATTTCATGCCTTGACAGCACAAATACCGTCGTGCGTAGCACCTCTGAAAGAAAGCCCTGCCTAAGCTATACCAGTGGACAACTTTCTCTGGCGTTTCGGAACTGAAGAGTGCATGTGCACTGCTTCGATCTGCACCCAAGGTGCTCGCGCGCCCGTGTGCACTTAGCTTCGACTGCATAGCCACATAGAGCCGTTCCCGAGTGTAGCGCTCTAGCGGGAGTGGGACAGGAAGTTCACGTCCCGTGCAGTCGTACACCCCAGCTTTGTCCCTTTTATTTTGTGGCTTCCCATTACTTCCGAAGGATGTGCTTCTTCTCTTCCCTCACCCAACACCTCTAAGATAGAGGTACACTCACGCAGTAATGTTTCAGTGCATTTGACTATGTTAACAGGACCCGCATCGAGCTACGCTGCGAGTCACTGGGACATTGTGCTTCTCACAAAGCATGTTAATCTACTCGAGGAACTTGGCACAAGTGTATCGGTGACTTGGGGCTATATCACAATGTAACATAGTCAAATGTTGCTGTGTGAATGGGCTTTAACGAGACCATAGCGTCGTGATTTCTATGTCGCCTACCGGAGGCCAGCCCGCGGCATGTATTTGACGCGAATGTTGTGTTTGTAATCGGCTGAGGCTCGTGTTCAGCTCGGGAGGACTTGAGCTCCAGCCTGTGGAACATCTGGTTATTCCAGTAAAGCTCAGGTTGAGAAGTATTCCGGCTGATTACATGGGAACTCCTTTATTCACTCTGTCCGATGGTTGTCGTCCGCAGTGCCTGTCGCTGTGCACGGCGACTCTGTTTTTTGTGCTGAGCCAAGACCGGCTGACGATGGACCTGGACGCATCAACGCTGTCCCTGATGCTGCAGCTCTTCGAGTCAGACCCCCAGCAGCAGGGCACAGCCAGGCTGCCACTCAGCACCCCGTCCTCGTCCTCGTCTTCCTCTTCCGAGCTCATGGAGAGGCACCGGGAAAAGGTCCAGCAGCTCTGTGAGCAGATGCAGCAGAAGGGGCATGCCAAGCACCTCAACCTAAACAGAGTCAATGTGAGTCCTGCTGCATCACCGCCCTCCGCCTCTGTTATGTTTTCTGGAAAACAAACTTCCTCTGACACGCTGATGAGATGAATCCAGAATTACCACAATGAAAGTGCAAGAACCCTAGCACTTTCTAGTGTTCCACCATTGCTTTGTTTTAACTGGGTGGAACCCACATTATGGTACGCCATCAAAGACATCTTAGGTGGGCAAGTTGGTGACTTGGTGAATTTATGCCGATTGCACAGAAACACTGTTGCGGCTGTTCAGATGGTGGTATTGACATTGGTACTTCTATCGCAGTCCTTGGATGATTATTGGGAGAGCTTTCCCCTAGGGACACACCAAACTGGTAGACGTGCTCTCCTGACACCAGGAAGAAAATCCATTGGATTTGGCAGAAACCTACTAAAATTCTAATATGTCTGCATCCCCCAACCTTATCCTTGGGATAAAATTGGGGGACGCAGAATGTGCAGCATTTTCTTTTACCTCCTCCCAATTTTATGGTGACAACAGTTTTGCAGCAGCAGGAATACTGCATATATTACAACTAAAACCATGCACACGAAAGCCGGAGGAAAAAACGTTCAGCCTTTCCACTCTCGTGAAAAAAAAACAAAGGCTAGCGGAGCTGTACTCAAAAAACTGCCGCAACGCGCACGCGCCCAGCGCACGCGCCCATTTCCCGCTTTTTGTCTGACACGCTGTCGATCGTGGATACGTCTCCGGCGAACCAGAGTCAGTCGCACACGGCGCACATGACGCCAAACGGGTCATCCACGAACTCCTTCCGGAACCTCACCGTCACGCCAGGAACTGTACAGCCGGCGTGGAGTGCAGTCGCCAGGCCTCACGCTTGCGCTTGGCCTCCGTGGCACGATCGTCGCTGGTTCTGTTCTCGGCGGAGGCTTTCCAAGCGAGCGATGTGCTCTTCTTTGGCAAGGGAATCAGCGCTCGACGCAGTGGAAGTCGAGGCGACAGCGGCTTTGCGGTGGTTGCGGACCCATTCGCGCTGCTGCGTACGTCGCGGCTCCTTCCGCAGCCAGTCTTCTTTCCCCGAAAGGGCATGCGGCCGACCCATCCCAAGTCCAAACCGAAACTGATAAGAGCGTAGGAACCAGCGCGCAAAACAGACGAGGACGAAGAAACATGTGACGAGCTCTGCGCCCGTTACGTGTGCTTCTGCTTTGTCGTCATCTGTTTTTCGCGCTGTTTCCTACGATGAATTCCCACCAACGCGCCCAACTATTCATTCTTTTATGATAGCTGGAAAGGTTGCCGCCATCTACGAGTGACGGCGGCAACCAGACTGGTTGTGTGCTTGCTGCCGTCGCTCATAGATGGCGGTAGCTTTCCAGGTAGGTTTGTGTCGACAGGCTTTTGATACCGGACACGATCCTGTGGAACCTAGCCCTTAACAGCTCCACTGTAAAAAAAAGCTGAGCGTGGGGAATAGGGTATCGGGTATTGGATTCCTGAGTGTGAGGTCATTAGTTGAATTCCTGCTGAGCGATGCAGTCTTTTGTAAAGACTCCTAACCGTTCTATCATACTTCTACAGCGATAGCTGTTACGGGCTCTTCCCACTACTGGAAATGACGTCCATTTTTGATGTTGTAGTAGTTGTTGTCTTCGACCTTGATGTTATAATTGAAGTTGTAGGTTGTCCGTCGTCAGACACCCTACAAACCCTTGAAAAAGGTTGCCTGCAGGAATTGATTATCGATCTGCTCTATGTGAAGCGGAGGCGTTGCCATTGAGCTATGCGACAGCGTTAACAATCTGCTCTATACACCGAGTCTTTATTAGTACCCAATGCCCACTGCACGCGCTCTCTAGAAAAAAAAAAAAAAAGTTATCTGCTAACAAAATGTTGTGTCATTGTCAGTGACAAGAGCTAATGCCAGGAGAGGCGCTTCGGAACAAAAAAAGAAACAAAAGTGTTCTGAACAAAAATGTCAGATGTCTATTTTGTTTTTGTAGCACTTAATGCCTACTGCACCCAATTCCCAGAAAAAAGGCATAGCAAATTGCTGGGCAATTGTGTTGAACGTGAAACATGTGGCATCTACACTCTCGGCACTCTTTATTGGTTAGTTTAGCGATTGGCTTAACGCGTGGCATACACACTCGATAGCGATTCCTGGAATGTAGATACGGGCACTAAGCTGGGCTTTAGAAACCTGTGACAGGGTGTCAAATTGCTATCTGTCAGATACAGAGCGGATGCACCACAGGGCTTTCCCGCCAAATTGCACCTCAACTCAAGGTGATGTGTCGTGACATGCTGAAAAGACACTCGCTCAATAATCTAAATGGTCTGGGATTGAACCCCGCCTCATGCAAACACTTCTTTTTAACTCTATGGCCTCTTCCCTTCCCCACCTACTCAAAACCAGTCAGTGTCGAGCCTCGTGACCTTGTTCTTATCCAATATTCACTTTTGGACTTTACAAAATGCCGAAGACCTAGTCAAGGAATGTTTTGTGTTAAAGAAATGGTCAATAACGAAATGCCGTCATAACACTTTCAATCCCAAGGGCTCGAGACAGGAGACACGCTTTCATGTCCTTCGGAACAAAAAAAAGAAACGAACGCGTTCGGATTAACATGGTGAGATGTCTATTTTGTTCCAAACGCTTTTGTTCATGCACGTGATGCAGATGCCCTGGGACTTCGTCGTGACCTGTCGCAGCTATCACTGTGACTGTACTGTTAATTAACTCTTTAAGTGCCGGGTTTTTTTCGGCCCGACAGTCCCACTGCGCCGGGTTGTTTTTTTTACTGCACGAACAAATTTATTTTGGGCGTAATAACTCGTTTACATGCTTCAATGTGTATGTTTATTAGCATTGTCACTGCCAGAAACATGTACACGTCGTTTGCGGGGACATTCTTCCATTGTTGCATGCGCGACTGCTCAGACGGCGAACACGAAGCGATCACTTGTCGGTAATGAAGGTTTCTCTACGCAACAATTACATCCACAACATCTGGGGGAAATAGGAGCTCAAAGTACTCCAGTTCACCTGAGGTGACGAGACGACGAGTCAAAACTGTGAAGAATGGGAGCCCTGCAGTCCGCTTGTAGCCAGTGTCGTCGAGTTTTTTCTTTTTGAGTAGTCTCTCAGGTGGTGTCGAGTCGTCGCTTTTGTCACTCTCCAAAGTACACTCGGTTTCACTGTCATCAGATTCTGAATTCGTTAGAAGTTCCTGTATTTCAGCATCCGTCACGGAGCGCGAAGTCGAAGCACGTCCATTCGCCATTGGAAAAGAATGTTGATGCGGCAATGCATACGGAAGTTGCCTTTACCCTTTACAAAAATCTCCACTTGCCGTCAAGAGGCGAAACCACCACTTAAAACATTGATTCAATTGGCTGTCCATAGATGGCACTTCCTGTTCAGAAAAATACTGTTAGCCGGAGTTTAAAGGGGTCATGAAACGCTTTTCCAACTTTTCCCTGTTTAGCTTTCCTCCTCAACTCATAAATCGCGCATTCCACCAAACAGTTCAAGAAGACGAAAAGCGAGGAGGCCCCTCCTGCTCGGAATCTGGTTTGCGCACCCGGACAGAGCCATTGTCCCCCTAGAAGATTAGCCCGTCGCTCAAAATTCAGACAAAAGTTGCTTTCCCCAACCCGTTCACCCCGAAGCTGACAGTGCTGTGGGAGCTATGTGCTCGTTGGGCCAGCCACACTTTTGCCACGTGATCACGCTCCTTCGCGCATACCCATGCGCAGAGAATGAGGTCAGGTGATGAAAGGGAGGCGGCTGGTTAGTCCGGCAAGCGCGTAGCTTCCACCACAATGTCAGCTTAGGGGTGAAGGGACTAAGTGAGGTCCGGTTTCGTGTGACGTGCGTTTGGACTTGATGACGCGTGTTTGGGACCGCGGATGTATCACAGTAAAAAGGTAGCGAGCTTACGAAGGGGAGGAGGTACGAAATAGTCCGCTGTGTTTTCAAATTTTCGCACTGAAAGTCAGGCTTTTGACTTTCTACATTTTTTCTTTTGACCCACTGAACGATGTGCTATTAGTAAAATCCCAATCTAAAGTGATTTATACCAACCCAAAATTTGTTTCATGGGCCCTTTAACCGGGAGATGCAGGGAGTAGTGTAAATTGAGAACCCGAAATGAGTATACTCGGGCGCGGCAGGGAGTGTGCAGGGAAGCGCGGCACTCAAAGGGTTCACGCGGGCCTGCTCAATTTTTCTTACAACATTTTGTGGCACTCTTGGCTTGAAAGGGGCACGGAAACGAAATGACGTGAGTGCAAGCTCTCTACCCTTCGCTTCAGAGTAAGCCTGCGAGAAGCGTAATGTGTATCGCGCTTGTGATGTCAATAGCTCTCGCACTGTCAGGGGTACTCTAGTTGCGAGCCTTGCCACTTGGTGGTGTCAATGCTTGACAATCTCGTCTAGTAGTAATATTCGAGAACTGTACGCCCTATGGCCTATACATAGCTCGCCCTTAACATCATTTTGCGGCCATGCTGGTATTTTATGCTTTTGCTTCACCGTGTTAGTTTCTTACCGCAGAAGTAGTGGCTCTAGGGAACCAGTAAGCAGAAAGAACCGTCAGTACCCAGCAATGGCATATGGTTGGCCTGACAAAGGTCTCCGCATCCTCAGATCAAGCTCGTACCAACGTCTGCAAACAATGGTGATCTCGATAGTGTGGAATGCATGTTGCAGAAGCAGTGTAAAGCTTAAATTGCAGCCAATGCCACAACCACGAGAGCTCGAGGTCGCTGCTTTGAAGCGTTGTTCTGCAGAATGATTGAGCGCTCGTGCTAGAAATGCATGTCTCAAAGCCAGGAGTGCACGCTAGCTCGCACTTGTCGCTCTTGCTGTAGTCTCAGCTTATGAGCGTTCTCCGCCAAGCCACATTCAGGACTAAGTAACTCCACAAGAGAGCCATACTGCTGCGAACTGGCGCTGCTTCCTTGGGAGCTTCATGACGTGACGGCATTCCAACGGAGCTTCACAGACTTGCATTAGACGCAATTTTAAGATCTGTTCATTCGTTTTAAAATTAGTTTTCTTGACTTCCCTCCCTGCAGCCCAGAAACACTAGTCTAGGCTAGTGTTTCTGGGGGGCCGGCACAGCATGGACCAAATCTAAACAAAAAAATAAAAGTGCGAACATTTTGTTTCTGTACCCCTTTAAATCCACCCTTAAAACAGATTTTGCATTATAAGCCAGAGCAGTGTTTGTACACACCTCAATATATTTAGTCACTTGCAGTACAGTAAAAGACTTACTTCGGATCTCATGGGACCGGCAAAAATGTCCAAATTATCCGAAAGTCGAAATATCAAAAGGACAAAGAAAACTTTGTGATAACGTTTCCCTGTGACATATCTTTATCTTGAGAAAAATTTGTTATTGCCGCCTGCTTTCTGGATGACATTTCGGCGGAGACGACAACTTTCGCGGTCAGGTGCTCCATCGCACTTGCACTGTCAGAACTGCGTATCCTGTGCGCTGACGATCCACGGCAGCAAAGGCCTCTTCTAGTTTTGGGTGCACCACCTTCCGCAGCCGCTTTCTTTTCGCATTGAACTTCTCGCTCTCAAAAGCCTGTAGGGTCTCGGCCTTATTTTTGATGTACGTGGCCAAAATGCCTCTCTTGACGTCGTAACTTTCCATCACTTGTTGTTGAGAGACAAGTGATTTCTACTTTCATTGCTACATTCTTGGCCTGGTACAGCTGCAATAGAAAAAGAGTAGCACAAGTGACCGATGACCGGAGTGGCAAAATAGCGATACGCGGCGCTATTTTTTCCCATGTGCGCCGATAGGGAGAGCACCAGCCATGTTGCATGTTTCAGCGCGGGGGTGGCTGGCAGAAAATTGAGGGATAAGATAGCTGTTAAAATGGGGTGGGCTTTAGGATGGGCTGCTTTCTGCCGGCCACCCCCACGTTGAGGCATTTAACACGACTATCGGCGCATTTTGGAACAATAGCGCCGTGTGTCGCTATTTTGCCACTCCGATCATCGGTCACTTGTGCTACTCTTTTTCCGTTGCAGCTGTACTTCTGCCGCTCTACGCCAAGAGACTAGCGCACGGATGCACGGCAGTCCAAAGCAAAACTGTTGCAAAACACTGAGAACCGGAAGACCGAAGAACCATGGGAAAAACCGGAAACCACGTGTGCACCTCGGATGGATAGCGGTCATACCCTTTGGAACGGACGGTAGCTTGCGCCACCTGCCGAATTCGTCCGAATTAACCATAGCGCGCCACACTCCCTCCGGATTAATGAGCGTCTGGTGCCATTGACTAATACACAGGTTTTGACGGGACCGGATTGGTAGTTCAACTTATCCGAATTTCCAAATTAGCAGGGAGTGAATAAACGAGGTTTTACTGTAGTTTGTCTTTTTGTGTTTGTTGAAAGTTGGTGCATGTTTGTCTCACAAAAAATGACTGACCGTTTCTGTGTTCTTTTTTTTTTTTTTATGCTCCTATTAGACTGGAACTCTAGCACTCGAGACACTCCTAAGTTTGACGTCTAGAAGAGCCGGGGAATGGTTCAAGGAGGAGTTGCGGTTACAAGGAGGACTCACGCACATAGTAAACACTGGTGAGTTACTCCTCCCCTTGAAAGAAGGACTAGGAAGCATTGGACTGCAGGAACAAATCTCAGTTTATACTGTTTCATAAACTTTTGTGTGTAGTGTCCAATATCAGTTTTCTAAGTTCTTTGTATTCTTTTATTAAAGTAATTTTAAAAGATATTAGTTTTCAGAAAATTTTATGTAGGGCTATCTACTATCTGTTCATGCATGCTCTGCCTGTTCACTTTGTGATTCTTTTTTTGTTTTGTTTTCTTTAGACACGCATGAGAGTTCTTGAACTCAATGCATCCTTTCTGTATTCTTTTTTTCAGTGAGAGACTGCCTATTCTATTTTGGAGAAAATGTGACCGTACTCCAGAGTCCCACTGAGTTTCAACTGGAAAAGCTCAGAAAGATCGACAGGTGTTCTCGTGTCTTAGAAAACGTAAGTGAAAGCGCAAAGTCTTTTCTATCTTCTACCACACATTGTACAGCAAATTGTAACATACCTAGTAGAAATACTATAGTCACTAACCAGGTGAGAACGGCGGGGCGTGTCTTTTGAATGCCCGGCCTCCAACATGCGCTCGTTGCATTTCGCTGTACTCTTGCTGCGCGCACATGCTCGAGGCTCGTGAGCCACCAAAGCGTCATCAAATGTATAAAGCTTGTGTTGGAGGTGGGACACGGTGCAAGATATATGCAGGGTGTTTCACGAAAGGCTGACAAATTCGATATTGCAAAAACTATGCTTTGCAACAAAAGAAGGCTTGTGTCATTTTGGTCCTGGGCCAGGGGCCTATTTAGGAAAATGATTGAAGTCCGGGATAATTAGATTGTTAACTATTTTTGTGTAATAAACTTTTTTAATATTGTGTTTAAGGGCATGGTTTCAATTAGAAAATTGCTCAGCACCATCAAAAAACGCTAAATCAACAAATTGCAGAACGATAGAATGCACGCAAAACATTTTACGGCTTTCTGAAAAACCGCAAGAATTCGAGGGGTTTTTAAGTTTCGGTTTGCTATCGGAGCGCATCTTGTCCCCGGCGGCACCGCGCCTCGTGGAGAGATAGTGCGACCCACCTCTGCTGTGCTGTCATCGCGCTACTCGGACGCGCTAATAGGATTTTATTTGGTCTATCGCATTGCGGCATTTGCTGTGCTTTTTGTCCTCTTCGATATATCTTATGCCGTGAAGGGGGACAACTGAATCACCTCCCTGCCTTTCCTACTCTGTTAGTGAGTACAGTGTAGACCACATATAACGTATGTCGCGGGAGTCGCGAAAATCCGCACTATAAGCGGTACCGCGCTATAACCAAAACATAAATTTTTCGGGCCAAAATACATGCCATGAGACAACTTACCTTTGTAAAAGAATTTATTTTATTAGATGAAAAAGAAAGCTTAATTTGAGGAAAGTCGTTATTTTACCAGACTAGTACAGTTCTGTCTCAAGTGTGTCACACATTTTGAAAGAAATGAGCGGCTTTTGCCTGGCGCAGCCTTTTAACGGCGTCGCGGGTTGCGGACGGACGTTGCGAGCGTTCAGGATTGGTAACCCTAATCACTTTTCTCCGGAGATGAAAACGCGTGAAAATTCGCATCCTTCATACGGTACGCACCAGTAATACATTGAACTTGAGCACACGCATGAAATGCGCCAAATAAGAAATCCGGGCGATGTTCGAGGACACAAATGCTTAGAAATCACCACTGTAGTCGAAGTAAACAAACACGACGACACGGGCGTTTCTGCCGTCTTGAGAGCGCCGCCACGACATCGCCGCACGAGTAAGGTGGATCTTCCCTTCTAGTATGTGCTGGGTTATCATAGCGCCACACAACGAAAGTTCACAGTCAAGGATAGCGCTTTTACGCGAATGATGAGATGAACGCCGTCTACGACGACGATCACAACCGACGCCATGTTTGCGGATAGAAGCAGCCGGCCCGCGACCGGCATGCAACGCGCGCGAACACTTCTCGACCTGCGATTGGTCTGTCGTTGCGGTTTGTTTCCAACGCAGCGGAGGGACGCGCGTGCGTCCCTCCGTCGCTATGGCAACTAAAGCCTCTCTCTTCGCTTCTGCCCGCTCCTTCAAGCAACCTCCGTGCCCCGCGAGTTCCGCTTGTGGCTCGCGCCGTCAGCGCCGTTATCTAGTGTCGCACAGGGAAGCGTGCTCGCTGCTCCGGTTGTCGGCGCGATCGGCGGGCTGTGCCAGAAACCGCACTATAACCGGTATTTCCCTTCGCGCGCCTGCATTTTAAGCGGTATGTAATTACATGGAGTTCTATGGGAGGCGAACCGGTGGTTTAAAAAAACCGCGTCATACCCGGTCCTGCACTATAAGCGGTTACGTTGTAAGTGGTCTATACTGTATAGCACACAAGACAGTATGTGGCTGTCACTTCTTTAGGCTGAAAACATTTCTGTAGAAGGACTTTTGAGAAAAATTAATTTTTTACTGGGGGGTAACATTGTCGGCTGTGGCAAATATCGGAGCTCGATTATAATGTGCCAACCAATGAACAAACTGACTAGGGCTGGGCAGTATCGCGATTCAAATATATCGCAATAATATCTTTGAGATACTTTTGAGTATCTGTATCTCTGTATCGAGGTTCATTTGAAAAATGTATTTGTAACTCAGCAGTGAAATACATTTCAGATGTATCACTTGTATCGCGATATATTGCCAGACTTAAGTATCTTTATACATTTGTTGTCCTTTTTAAGAAAAATTTATAAGAGAAAGAAAAACATTTGTTTCGTGCAAGTTGCTTCCGAATTTATGATATGAACCCGCCCCATAACATGATCCATCTCGGTCACCAACATAGAAATAATCTAAGGTTTAAAGAAGGTTACTTGCAAGAATAACAAAATCAGCTCCTTTTAAAAGCCCTCCATTATTTCCATTTTCAATTTAGCAGAGCGAACGCTGAGGAGTTGAGTGGAGAATAGTACGGCCCTGTTGACCGATCTCCCCACACTTTGGGTGACTCAGAAGCATATAAGACAACAATTTTAGGTGCGCCCTCGCGTCAAGGGATCATTTCGGGCAGACGCCTTTTGTCAAGCCTGGTACGCAGTCTTTACCGTTCTGTCACTGTGTGGTTTAACAGGGGTGACATGCTTTTTAGTGGCATTAATCATAATTGAAGAGTTCAAGGTAAGGGGTGGTGCATAAATTGGCACAAAAAGAAGAGCACAAGCATAAATTGCCCTACGCATTCGCCGCCAACTACACCCTCCCCACGTAGCACTGTTCGGGAACAAATATATTTCTACAAGTATCTGTATCTGTACTCCGGAATACTTTTTCGTTGTTTCTACAGAAGTATCTCAGGTATGTCCCGTTACACAAGAGACAAATGTATCTCAGTATCTGTATTTGGGCATTAAAACGCATGTATCTTAGTATTTGTATTTCCGAATACTTTTTGGAGTATCTCTGCCGAGCCCTGAAAATACTCAACAACAGCAAACAACTTTTCGAACACTGCTCCTCTTTAACAAAGTTTTTGTGAAAAAAAAAAAATTTGAACTTAGTCATTTAATTTATGAACTAAAGAAGTATGAAATCAACTTTCCGTTTGTTGTCGAAGCTCACGATCTTGCCAGACAGCTAAGGAAAGCACGGGCGCCATGCAGACTGTTGATTGGAGGCTAGAAACGCTGTTCGATGGTGGTGACGACACAGTGGTGCATTCCGCAAGAGCTACAAAGACTCCAAACTGCCTGGAAAGGGCAGTTTGGAGACCCTGGTTTATGTCAGGTTTAAAGCCAAGCTGAGTCAGATCCATAAAAAAGGGCATGTTGGCAGTGCGCGGTTTTTGGTCGGTACCGGTACACGTGCAGGGGTGTGACATCTGCGCCAATTGCGCCATTTTGATACAAACCCAATTTTCTGTGCCTAGTTGCACCAAAAACGCAAAATCGGTTGAAATTGCGCCACACTGCGCCAAAATCACTCAAAAACTAAAAAAAAAAAAAAGTTTGCGGCGACGTTAGATTTAGCGGGAAACGAGAGCTTGGTTGGCAAAATTCAATCTCGTCGTAGTAAAGTACATGGCACGGGTACAGGGGGGTGCAAGCAACCGGGTTGGCAACATACAATCTCGTCGTAGTAAAGTACATTGCACAGGTACAGGGTTGTGCAAGCAACCACGGGATTCAAAGATTTCAGCTGTAGTACCCTTCTATACCTATGATACGTGGTCTTTTCCCGATCTTCCTACTACTTTCGGCTGTCATTTGTGACTGCATACTAACGGTGCGCTGTCACGCGGTCTAAGTGTCTGGCCGCGGGAGGTACGACTCACAGGCTATCAAGATGAGCAGACCTAGTATTTCGTTTTGAGGGTAATTCTGTTCTTAAAAGTGCTATTGAACGCCTCCATTGTGTAATTGTTCATTCGTGTCTGTAATCTCAACAAAATGGACGGCGCCGTCGCCGTTAGTACTTTCGGTTATCACACGCGTGCTTCCAGTGCATGAGCAATCGAATGAATCGGTCACACACCCGTATTTAGTGTGCATGTGGTGCTCATAGTTTTTCTACCACTTCACTATTTACCTTGTGACTCACTTTTGTGGAGAGTTTTTTTCTATCTGCACGTGCTCTCTACGAGCGTCCGATAGATGTCTGGTTGTAGTAAACCAGGGGTTCTCAAACTGGGTTCCGGAAAAGCAGGGGTTCCACGAGCTGGTCTCATGGGTTTCGCGAACACCCAAATTGCAACCACCCCCCCCCCATGGCGCAGGCTGCACGGCAGGACCATGCAAAGCGCCTTCATCTCACTTTGTACTGACATCGCAATTGATATGGTGGGGATATATGGGAAGCAACACAAGCAAAACTGCCTACAATTGTGCATCTGTTGCTTCTCGGTCGGTAAATATGGAGGAGGGGGGGGGGGGGGGGGAGGAGGGTTCCGCGGCAGTTTTTGAGGCTTCCTGGGGTTCCGTGAGACCAAAAAGTTTGAGAACCCCTGTAGTAAACCATGCTCCCCTTTTCATGATCTCGGATCACCGCTTTAAAAAGTTCTGCACTACAATTGTGCTTTGGCACTAGTTGGTATAAGCTTGAGGTACCTGGTGCCCAGCTAACTTTGCAGCAAGCCTGTGTTTCCTGTCCTCATCTATGCGCATACAACGCGCATTTGCCTTTTCCGTTTTTTTTTCTTCTTTTTATCTTGGTGCGTATAGGCGCTGATGACTTATTGGAACCAGGGTAGACAAAAATAATGATTAAAAAAGAAAAATCTGATTTATGTGATTTATATGTGATTTTTTCATGGTTTAAATTGCTGATAAGCTGCTCTCTGCTCCAAATTGTAGACTTTTGTGCTTCGAAGTTGCTCCAAAATGCATAAACTGCTGCTCCAAAACGAGAATTTTGTGCTCCTAAGTGGCTCCAAAATCCAGATTTTTCTGCTCCAAGAATTGCTCCAAAACCCGTTTCACCTGTCTCACCCCTGCACATGTGATGTTGCGTGACGCTTTGGCACAATTTGCAACTGAAACAGGTGGTTTCAGTTGCAATTGTGTAACAAGCATGGTGCAATTGTGTAAGAAGTTTTATTTCTCTTGAAAACACATTATCGCCTAGGCGGCGAGTGGAAAAAAGAAGGTATATATTGCGGACAATTTGACTTTTGTCTTTGCCCAAGATGAGAAGGTTAGCCAGTGCAGTACTACTACTGCTAGCCTGAAGTCTTTAACATGCATCACGCAGTAGTAGTAATCCATGACCGCGGGCCAATACGGTGCTTATCCAGGCCAAAATGGGCAGTGGTGGCAACTGAATCCAGGATCTCTGGGCTCTGCAGCTTGAGCTTTTGCTCCACATGTTCCGAGCTGCAGTGCATTAGCATGTTCGGTCACCGATCCGCCGGTTATTAAGAAAGAGCGAAGGTCTGTTCATGAGTTCCTCCCAAACATTGCTCTTGTGCAAAATTGGGATTTATATCCTGCCCCCAGTAACAGTTCATAAAAAAAAGAAAAGGTTTCCCTTTCCTCTTCATAGAGAAGAGGGGAATTTTCAGTTCCGTTGAAGAAGATTTTGCAGGGTAACTTTTAATGATGAATGGCATATTTCAGCTCTTGCAAGCGATCAAGCATTGAATTCTCCCCCTGTTTCAGGTCACCTACATGAACAGCGACAACCAAATGTACCTGTTGGAGTACAAGGATTCCCTTATGGTGGCTTCTTATATCAGGTAGGGCACCAGAGTCTGTCGAACTGATGCAACTATGCTAGTCGAACTGATGCGGCTATGCTAGGTTCTATACAAATCTTTATCTGAAATTGGCCTTCCCACTACACCGTGCCTATCTACACTGTGCCTGGCAATTTACATTATCGACGTTCCAGTGCACACCACATATGAAGACATCTGTAATAGAAAAGTGCTTGTTGGAGGCGGGGAATGATGTTGCTCAGGTTCGCTGTGTTGTGCTGGTCGACGATCGACGAGGCCTTCCTGGTGCTGAGTAGGAGGAGTGCATAGAGGCTTCGTGTCACTACGGTGCTAACTATTTATTTACGCCACGATACACAAAAACGTTTGATACAAGCAATGTGCACACATCGTACACAAACTATGATGTCTTTTGTGTCGAAACTACCTACTGCTAGATTCACCCATAGCGACGTCGAGAGCAGAAGCCGCTAAATTTGACCGGAAACACGGACATCCCTCTCACCCGCACCTCGTTCGTGCGAACGGCGAAGCTGGTTATGGAGTTGCGCCTACTGCAGACGTCATGGAAGTACCTCCGCAGATTCCACCTTCGTGCGAAGGCCACTTGAACTAGTATGAGAACTGGTTCAGCTAGTTCGGTCAAAAACAGGTGCTTACCTCAAGCATCTTCATATAGCGACAGCAATGCTTGGTGAGGTTTCACAGCAGATTTTGGTGCGTGTGCAGTGTGGCTCCCTACATTTAGCAGGAAACGCATCCCGGAAAGTTTAGTGGGGAATCGGGGTGTCACTTTTGAGTGACATTTGACGTTTACCCATTAAATTTGGCAGAAGCATTTCTCCGGCAAATTTAGCAAGAAAATTGCGACGTCGGATGACATCATCATCTGCGCACTTTTGCCTCACTTTGTGTGGCGGCTTGGAACGGTTGTGTGTAGTCTGTGTGCAATAGAGTGTGCAATGGCTCAGTTCATTTGAACTGAGGCAAAGGAGCCGGCAGTTTTTTGCGCTAACTTGTTCTCGTTGTAGGTTGCTGCTGTTGTGCCAGTCGAGTCTGATGGTGCACCACGTGAAGCTGGCCCCTGCAGGCCAGGGCGGGGGGGCAGACGTAGCCAAACCCTGCGAGAGCCAGACCACCTCGGTGGTGCTGCAGAACACCCAGGGACCCGGGGCCGTCTTCTTTTCCTGCCTCCTCTCCGTGCTAAGGGTGCTGCTCAACATCACCCACGAGAGCCGTGAGTCTTGCCAAAGGGGCTTCGGTTGCCACGCAAAGGTCCGGCGGGCCTGGCTGCCGCACGCCGCCAGTAATCAGTCAATTTACAAAGCATCAACTTTTTTTTGTTTACCGTGTCTTGTGCGGATTATACGGGGTTTCTCGGATTGTACTGAAAACATTTCTTAAGGGACGAATATTTGAAATTAAGTTTCGATTCCCTCAACTGTGGCAAACGTTGGGACAAGGGGAACACGATTATAGGTAGCTAACTATAGCTAACGATAGTTGCACAACAACCATCTAGTCGGGCAACCCAAATGTGCTCGAGCTGCTCGGTTACAGTAGTGGCCGGAACTGTCGTCGCCATTGTGCCTAGAGGAACTGCCCGACGCATCGTTCGCGTGCTTTGTTGCCTTGTTCCGGCGAGGTGTGGACCAACGAGACTGCCGCGTCAATGCCGATAATGTCCGAAGCTCGTTTTCCACTTCCGCGACAGCTTCTCTCTTTTTCCGCTTCTTTGGCCTGCCTGGCCCCTGTCCACGCTTCCTCAAAGCCAAGTTTTGCGTCGCGTAACGGCCGGTCGGACGGGTATGTGTGCGTATCGAAGACTCTACGACGAATCTGTCATAAATGAGGCGTGAATGGCTACTAGCTCGGGAAATTCGGCATAGTAGCCATTCACACTCTGTCCTGCCTGCTGATACCTTGAGGACTCGTAAACCCCGTTCGTTGGATGTAGGAGGTGCTCGGAGAAACACTTCATTACGACATCTCAGTCTTTTTGTCAGGCAGCGTCTAGGCCGAAACTGTTGAGAAGGGTGGTGCCTCAGCGCTCGTACTGTAAAGGGGAGTTAGAACCCTAGCGCCTGCCGACGTCTTGCAAAGACCCGAAGCGTAGGCACGGTCCTCGAAGAGGCCGAACCAGACAAGCCAGGAGTCGATGCGTTCGAAATCAAAAGGGAATTTGACTCCCGCCCCCGTCGAAGTTTTCATCATGCTAGTCAAGCAGGCTTAGCTTGCGGCGTGTAAACGTAAGCTCAGCGTGTGACGATCTTCCTTCTGACATTATTTTGTGTAACGAACCTTGTTCATTTTGGTGAGGCCACTAAGTTAGTTGCACAGTACCAGGAAGATGTAAAATCAACAATTCTAGCTGCAAAATGAGCACGGGTACTCGCACCTACGCCGACAACATCTTGTCCTAATACAGGCTAAGCTCATTACAACAGACATTTGGATAAAACATACGGATTTGTGAAGTTTGGTTGGTTTTCCTCTACATACCATTGACTCAACTTCATTTCTGCATACAACATACTCCTCTTACAACAGACCGAAATCTTGGTCAAAATCAAGGTTTTTTTTATAAGGGGTGTTGACTGTAATTTGTTGATGGTGATGCCACATTTCTCGCCCACACCCCATCGCGCATGCGCACTGCCGCTGGCATGCCACTAGGGGTGCACTGTTTTGTTCTCAAATGTGAGTTGGAGCACGGAGTGTCTGCACTTGTGGCCACTTCACGGGCATCTTTTCACCTCTCTTATTGACGTCCTTTTTCAGCACTGGGCAGCAGTGTGGTTGGCAGCCAGCCAGGGCTTCTGTGTGCCATCCTGCTGTGCATCCTCCAGGTGCCCAGGTCGGTGCCGAGTGAGCAGCGATTCGACCTCCTGGTCCTGGTAATTCTTCTTTAAATATTTGTTTCCTCCAGGTACGTTGATTACCTTACAACTGCGTGCATGGGCCGCACTTGCGTTGAAGGCTGCACTCCTCCCTATTTAGAACAAAATATTTAAAAAACAAGATTTAGAAAATATTTTTTGTGTATTATCTGCACCCCCGCACCATTTCCTGAGGCGCGCCGACCTTTTGCACAGTCTGATGCGCACTCCGTGCCTCCGCTCCGCCATCTTTACCCTGCCATGTATATGCCTCTGCTTGCGCATTTTGCCGTGTTTTGAAGTGCAGAGCAGAAAGATTATGGGATAAAAGCTTTAGAAATCTATTCTTTTTATGGTTTTTGTGTCGTCTACGGTCGCCTTCTGCCCATGTAATAATGACTCGTGGGAAATCAGACCCTCGGGTTTTCAAACATAATGTTTGCGAATGTTTTGTTCTGCAAAGTTGGTTAATATGGGCCCGACAACCTGAGAGCAGAGGGCAAGTACTTTCAAACTTTCACTTATGCCTTAGAGCGCGGCAGATGTGCAACAGGTCGCAAATACAGTATCGATAAGATCTGCGTACGGTGCTGGACAAAGCGTGCTGTTCAAGGCGGGCTCGCTCTTACGCTGCAGCCACTTGACGTCGGCATTGAAAGGAACGTCGAGGGGGAATTCTATGAAATAAATCACTTATGCAAACTTTGAAAACGCGCTTACTGGACGGCTCAAAAGAAAATCTCTGGCCACTGTTGACACTGGTCAGACTCGAGCACCGAAGATACTGTAGCTTGCAACGATCGAGGCCAAAATAAAGGTGCTCAAGCACATCCAAAACTATTTCGTTTTCATCAGTGTATGCACCTACAAAATTAGCCCTAAAATACAAAAAGTGTAGTCCTTACTTTTATATGCTATGTTCTCTTTACGCAATGGGGATTTACACTTAAAAAATACATAGAACGCCAAAAATGTAACTCCTGTGCCTAATTTTCGGTGAGCAGAACCTGTTCAATGAATTGGTATGAGTGGTGGAACAAACCCGATGAATTTGTTTGCGTTGCAAGTAACTTGGCAAAACTATCAGGGTTTCGGGATGTAAAAGCCTGATGGGTGGGTGGTGACACGAGAAATTGTAGTCTTAGTGTGTGCTCCATAGTGCGCGTTGCGATGTGACACCTTTCCGTGCTGGACTTGTTTTACTTTTCGAACTTGCTATTGTCATCGCAGGTAACTTTGTCACTGCGGAAATGACTCGTAATTGCGCGGGTTCAATATAAAATAAGCAGCCACTAGATTTAAAATAGTGCCCTTAAATGGGATAATCTGCCGCGCAGCCACCTTCGGCGACTTCGAGGCAAATTGTCATTCTATAAAAGGGGAAGTGGTGGATCTAAATCCCAACCGACGCTGCCTGCAATCTGACAAAGGCTCACTGCGGTGTGCTCATCGTACAACTGAGGTTTCAGCAGCATTGTCCACAAAGGGAGGTGGGGTCAGGTCCAAATGAATTACCGAACCCTCATGTCAATTTGGAACAAAACCACCAGGCTAATTTTTATTTTTTGTGTAGAACATGCTCAAAGCAAAACTTGAGGGAGACTCATTTCCATTATGCTCTGCGTGGGGAGAGCTGAGAACGAGTCTTAAGGCCCGTTCACACTCTTGCGACCTCTTAAACCTGGGTTCCTTAAAACTTCTTAAACCAGAGAACACACTGGCGCCATCTATTGGGAAGCAGTGTAAACTCGGCGGTCCGGCATATTTTTTTTTATTTCTCGCGCATTATCCTTTCTTTCTTGGATTGAAAAACTTTTGTCAATGTTATAAACGAGTCTTTCTATGGGTATTACACACATTTGACCTCGGAAATTCGGCAAAACCTTCGCTCTTGTGAAATGCAGTTCCTGGGTCACCGCATAGATGGCGCCAGAATGCCAGTGTGTTCCCTCATTCTAAAAACATTTAAGAAGTTGTAAGAGATCTCGTCTCTCTCAGTCGTACTCGGTCGCAAGAGTGTGAACGGGCCTTTAAGTGAAACTCTCGGAATGGATGGATGTAGTGTTTTTTCCAGTGTTTTTTCTGGTGCTCATTTTCAATGTCCCTGTCGTCTGCAGTCGCTGGGGCTGCTCATCAACATGGTGGAGCACTGCGAGAGCAACAGGGAGCGGCTCGTGAACACGGAGACCGTGGGCTCGTTTGAGTCAGTGTGTGATGAGATGGAGATGCCTGCCTTCAATGCCCTCATGGATGTGAGTGGGACTGCTCTCTTTGGCACTAGGCCTCAAATGGGGCCGACCGGTTTCTTCATGAGCTGCCTCTTGCTAGTTTTGGCAGCATTTCCGTGTTGGTAGAGCAACATTTTTTTTCTTCTTTTTTGTCAATAGACGTGTTTTCAGCATTCATAATTTGCAGGTGAGGGAGTACAAACAAAAAATTAATGCGCACATTAAAAAAAAAAATTATTTGAAGGGAGCACGGTGCTGCTTGCTGAGTGACAAGATTGGGAAGCATTCAATGGAAATATTGAGGGTGGAAAGTTTCCTTCCATTGGGTTTCATTTTGGTGCATTTAGGGAGAAGGGATGGGCTAGGCTAGGTTAGGTTAGATTAGGTTGGGTTAGGTTAGGCATTCATTATGTATGCTAATTTTTTAACTTAATTTATTTTCGAGCTATAGCTTGCGATTGAACAAACTTCAACGTGCTTTATTGAGATTACCATGCTGCACATGCAACTCAAAAAAATCAACCAGTTTTGGAATTATTTTGCCCGACCAAATTTTCATTATCTATGGTGTAGTCCATGGGGTAAATTAGTCGCACAAGAAATTTTTCTTGATTATTTTAAAACCCCGAATACAGCGAATCGTAGGTCTTTACGAAAACCAAGTGGTTTACCTTATACCATATTTTCCAGGGTATAAGTCACACTTGCATTTATTGAGCCGTTTTGACAGGAAAGTTAGTATATAAGTCGCACCTTCGTATAAGTCATACCTCTTTGCACAATTCACGCGAGGAGCTTTTTTCGTTTTACGTGCATCGGTATCGCGAAATAGGAGTTCCGCACAATTGGCTTGACTTGGCATGACCTAGCGTTTGGCAACTTACTTGACTTGGTGACTGGCTTAGGTCGGACGCAGTTCAAGACTCAGAGTCAAACGATGGGGCTGCATTCCTTACTTGCAGGGCGGGAGAAAATTGAAATATTAATGACCGTTGTGGGGGCTGCATTCATTATGCGAGTAAATACGGTATATGCACTGATCTCCACTATGGGGCTGGATGGTGCATTGAGCAAACAGGTATGAAGCCACCGGAAGTAAGTGGCTTCTCCCGGAAGTGAGCGCTTGACAGGCTTTTCAACTCTTATGAGCGGTGGTTTGAACAGCGTTTGGAATGCTGGATTTTTTTTTTTGTCATCTCAAGAGAGCCTGCTTGTTGCAAAGTAACTGTGCATGCAGACCCAAGAAGCCTCTCAGGAAGCCATTGGATGTAAAAACATTTTGGGATTCTAGTTGATCAAGTGTGCATATGTCACACATTCAGATGCCTTGTTATCGGGATTTAATTGAAAACGGGATTACTAAAACCCACTTAAAGATGCAAGAAAGCGTGAACCAAAACATTGACTGAATACACTAGGAAGCCCAGCAGATGCCCGACTTCCGGGACAAGCGTCAAACTTCCGTTGGCTTCACCTGCACCAGGTTCGGAGTGTAGCTATGTGCCATCCAGCCTCATAGACCCTTTTCGTGGCAAATGCCACCAGTCGGTACTCCAGTTTTTGACGTCCTAGAGAACTTCCGGTTTATGAAAAGAATAAACAGAGCCCACCTTAACACTGCTGCTTGAAGTGTCTGTAAAACATTTAACCCCAGGTGAATGCCAAAAAAAGAAAAAAAAGAAGTGTGAGATACGTTGAAAATTATTGAACATTCTTGTAAACCAACTTGCTCCCTCCAAGACGCTAAATTGTACAGCCGAAGGCCCTTGTTACATCTACAACCTTGTTATGTGTGTAGCATTTATGCCTTTTCGCACTGGCGACATAAGCAAGCTCGACAGGCTTGCAAAGACACAGCGACCGGAAGTCGCTTGGGACGCAAGCGTCGGTTCGTGTTTGTAAACAGCAAAAGGATCCATAATAGAGATCAGTGGGTGTATGTTTTCGGTCATTCGGGGAGCATGCGCATAAACCGAATACTTGGAAAACGTTTGGTACCAATGAGAGGAGGAACCGGGACATGGGGCATTCTTTCCGGAGCAAGGAGTAGTCTTGTGGACAGTTCAGTTGGTTCGGTGTTCAGGGTTAACACAAAATGAAGCTTTGGATGGAGGTCTCTTCCATTGAATCTCGAGTTTTTCTCATTCGGGGAGAGCTCTGAGCGATTTGGGGTTTTTCAGTTTCCTTTAATTTGGATGAAAGCAGCTCGGAGGTTGCTTCTCGCGGTGTGCCGGTACAAATCGAAAACATGAAATCCCGCTTATAAACCGGTTTGGTGTGCAGCTGTTCACGGACAAGCTGGACGCTGCCAGGCTGTCGGAGGAGCAGGCGGATGAACTGTTCAACAGCCAGGAGCAGAAGGCAAAAGCGTCCCTGGAGGCCAAGGAGGGCGAGGCGGCGCAAGTCAGCCAGACATCCCAGGCGGACGACCTGGAGGAGACCATCATGAAAGGTTGGTAGTAAACACTCTCTCCAAGAGGCCTCGTGACGATCGTCGCTGTGGTTGTGTACGATGCTCTCGGTGTGGGCCACGTCGAGCCGGGACGCACATACCACCGAGGAATCCTTGCCTCCAGAGCTGAATCGTCGCTTCAGTGCAGCTGGTGAGGTGCCACCAGGCAAACTGGAGGTGTCTAACAGTGCACCACATTCATAAAGGTTTTGTCAAGGACCAAGCAAGAATGGTGTGGATGCTTACTGAAAAACTCCTTTGTATCTAAACTTTTGTTAGCCCTTTGAAAGTGGCGCCTTTGGGATTTTTAATTACAAGGGTGGAACGGCTGCGCCATTTTGCGCCATTTTGCGCCAAACGCATTTGTCTGCTCCATCCTGCGCCATTTTGCAGAAACTGCACCACAGCCAATACCTCGCGCCATTGTGCTCCAAATCGCTCAATGTGCGTCAAATTTTTTTTTTATTTTGTCTTGGTTTCAGAATTTAAAATATACCTCTCAGATTCAGAGATAAGTTAAACGTGATCGACTCTATCTGCTACTGACAATCGCACACTTGTATTTCAAATGGATGGCAGTATTTTTCTTTCTGGATGTTCGATACTGCCAAGCGCTTCAAAATAGACCATCAAAGAGTGCGGTGCGTCTCGAGATATCTGTCGCCCATGCGGCTTGCCCGCGACGTCATCGGCCTCCCTGGAGTCAAACGTGCCATAGTTATAAGCATTGACACATGGCGGCGTCAACGCGTTTCGACCTCGCTTAGTCTGAGTGCCAGGGGCTGTAACATATCACCAAGAGATTGACCGGGAGATTGTGCAGCCGGCGGAGTCGTGTGCACTATGACGACACGTAGTGCGTCGTCTGCTCCGCGACTTGGCCGATATGGTGACATCGGCAACATCGGTTTTGGGCGCGAGCTCGCTGGTCTTCGAGGGTGACAACATTGCCACGAAGCGGCTAAGGTACCTTGTTTACCTCACACGAGGTGAGAGGCTGGTAGATTTTTTACCTCATGTTGTCTAAGGTGACGGCAGGATCATGTGTGATATTGGTAGGACGAGGCAGTAAATACCGCTTACCTGATTTACCACCGACTAATCACAGCAACCAGACTTGGTGAGGGCGCACACTTCGAGGATAAATAAATATTGCTTTAAAGGGATGGTGAACCGAAATTTGGGTTTCAGAAAACAATGCAGGAGTGGTAGGCGGGACACTAGAATCCCTACAACACCACCCATAAGGCAATATCTTGAATGGACGGCCGTATTTTTGGAAAAAGAGGTCGTGATTGAACGAGGCCGACGAGGCGCGTGAAGTCAACATATCTCGTTTCCTCCTCTCCCCTTTGCCACCTCAAGGCGGCGAGACAGAAGATGCGAGGTCGTTTCCTCTCCCTCTCGACTTTTCTTGGAGAACCGACGTAACATATCTGTCAAATGCAGACTTGGACGTAGTTCAACTACTGTACTCAAACTACTGTAGTTTAACTATTTTTCCGAGTAACTTGGTAACTTTCAATTACAACTTTATTTGGGTAATTAGTAGTTTAATTTAACTACGTTTTTCCTTTAACTTCTACTCAAATTACTAACTACTTTCGAAATTTAATCCTATTTTTTTTTTCATCACAAAAGTTTGAGTGCAGAAATAAATAAGACGCTGGCAGATTAAGTGGTATTCACGAACAAGGGGCCACCTCACATTCGGTTCCCACGCACTTACACTCGGCAGCCCTAGAAACTGCATCACAGGCGTCCTTGGGCCAAGGTGGAGACGACGGGCAGCCAAAACATAACACCGGCGCGCACGAACGCAGTCAGAGATGCTTCACAAGCCTTGGTCGGGTGTTGGCCTAATCCGGTAATGCACGCAAGCGCCGCGTTTCCAGCTGCAAACGTGAAAGACGGGGACACTCCGAGGGTTGTTGTTTTTATGGTGTGCCTTTAGTGAGTTCTGACTCAAGTGGTAGGTTCCACGGTAGGCGCCACTGGGATGACCTCACAGCTGGGCGCCTGTGTCACGGTCGCCTCATCGTCAGCGCATACTCCATTGCAAAGCGCGGACTCCCCCGCGCATAAACGCAGACATGGATAATCCGTTCATGGGAGCACGTTCCCGCTTCAGCTGCAACTGTACGAGCGCCGATGCTTGTTCACGTAATCCTTCGCGTTCTTCCGACCTTCCACGCCAGGGATACCTCCTCTTTGTTGAAAACGTTTTACTTCTCAGGCGCGTCAGGATACCGTAGTCGCCGGCGAGGATTTCGAGTCACCCTTGGGAGATCCTTTTGTTAAACCCAATGTCAACAACAAAAAACAATTTCTTTTTCTTTATTTTTTTTTTTAAGTGGCGTAGTTATAACATTGCAAAGAGACGCGCAGTCATCCGGATGATGTCATCAGCGTGGCGCGAGACTTGATCCCTTGACGGTCAGGTGCACTCGCTCGGCGAAATCTCCGAACGTCGTGAGAATAAAGAGGGGCCAGTCATAGCAATCTCAACTTTTCGAAGAAGGATAGGAAAAAAAAAGAGAAGAGTTTGTTATGAAAGACCCTCTAGCCGAGGCAAGCCTCACATGTTTCGTCATGGACACCAAAGATGCCGACACTTGCTTAACCGACCCTGCACAGCCTGCTTCTGAAATTGAACGCTGTCTTTGCATCCAGCGCCACGGTGAAACGTCTTTTTAGCCTGACCGAGGACGTTATTAGAAGGAAAATAGGAAAACTCTCCGATAACAACTTTGAAAGACAATTGCTTCGGCGAGCGAATAAACTATTTTGGAAGTCATAAAATGACTGCATTTATTTCCGGCTCGCAGGGTTTTTCACTGATCAAAACTTCTGTTCAGTTTGCTGCCACAAAAACATAAAAAGCAACTTCGAAAGTAACTTCAAAGTAATTCGCTACTTTTTTTACAGTAGTTAGTAGTTTACTCAATTACTATTACAAATGCGTAATTTCTACTCTACTTCAACTACTTTTGGCGTCGATACTCAGTAACTTAACTACCTTTTTTGAGTAATTCGTACATGTCTGGTCAAATGCACCTGTCATCCGTTCTTGATGTCGCTGTATGAGTGATGTTTTGGCGCTTGTAGCATCCCGTTGCACATTTCTGCTGCTGTGTTTTGTAGAATCCGGATTTCGGTTCAGCATCCCTTTAAAGGCGCCATACCAGTGTGCATCCTTCACTTATTAAAGCGGGCAGGGAAGCAGGCAGAGTCCGGTGATGCAGCATGGCGGTGGCATCATTTGAGTATTTCACGCACCGTATCGCATCAATAGTTGTGTGACCTCATTATTGTCACGCCACCGCAAAGAAACCCGTACACCATGACGATTTCGCAACATTTCTTGTCACAAGGGTGAACACTAAGTGAATGAAGGGAAGGCATCAGCGTAGAGGAAGCTTGCGCTGGTCTCGACGAGACGCGATTTTCCAAGCGAAGCCAGAAAGTGCAGAGAACATGACTGTACAATTCTCACATCGGTGCACAAAAACTACCACGAAAAAATGCTTGCATCTCCACAATTTTGTAACTCGACTTGTCTCAATGGTGAACACTAAACGAAGCAAGAGAAGTGATCAGTGCCACTTCCGTCAGTCTCGTCCAACAAGGCTTACGCGATCGTCCAAGCTTGGCACGTTGACGGCGACTAGATTGGTCGGCGAGACGATTGCTGATTTCTCACATCATCGCACGGAAACTATCTTGCATAAGAGCAGATACTGGCACAGCTCTGCAACGTAAACCGGGGTAACTTCGAGAGGTCGGTGTTGCTTAGCAAGAACGACGTTGAAGGCAGTGCTTGTCATGTTGAAAAAGGTCATTTATCAGCCCCTGATGTCAGTGACGTCGAAGATTGAGTGGAAGCGATTGGCTGGCGGAGTGAATTCAAGGTGGCCAACTGTGCTTTGGCTTTCCTCACCAAACCTTTGTTATTACGTTCTGGCCTTGCTAATGAGTAGTAGTGAGCGTACCTCCCATATGGTGGTGCCGCCTTCGGAGGCCAATGCCGTCGCAACATTCCATTGAAGCTTCATAACCAACAACCAGGTGGTTTCTTGGTTATCGTTTAATTCAGTTTAAAATGTGTTTTCTTGCTTTTTCCAACGAAATATTGATGTTTCTGTGTTTCTACTGCCACCTGCGTCATGTTGAAGCAAGAAAATGAGCTCCAGAATTCGGTTTCCGTACCCCTGTGCAAAAACATGTTTTTTTTTCTATGTGTGCATTGCATCTGGAACTTTAAAAAAAAAAAAAAAAAAAAGCTATATCGAAACGAACATTAGATGAAACACTGACTGTGAAAATATAGTTATCGTAAACAATTTAAAAAATATTTTTTCCACTTGGCGTATGTTTTCTTTAAACTTGATCTAATGAAGCTGAGGGGAGTCGCGAATTACATTGTCAGATCGGGAACTTTGTTAAATTGCGAATGATATTTATTGGAGATTAAATTTGATAAACCTAGTTTTAATTTAATGGCATCGAGAGAGCAGTGATAAAAGTGCTGCGCCAATTGCGCCAAATTGCGCCAAGGACGCAATCCTGCTACATGTAGCGCCAAATTGTCATTTTATCGAAGAATTGCGCCATGCCTGCGCCGAGATGAGATGTTGCTATAAAAAATAAAAATTGAAATCTTATCAGAGCGCTTGGCGGTACCGCGGTATTTTCCGCGCCGCAACTGTTACGCAAACCGAAACTGCAAGGGCGAATTATCATCATCATCATCATTGAAAGGAACAACGTTAGCAACATCTGAGACCAAAGCCGCAGAGGCTAAGCGAAGAACCATCCCACTAAGCAGCCTATTAAAAAAGAAACAAAAAAAAACAACAAAAAAACGCCGAGTTTGTGGATGTTTTTAATGTTGGCCCGCCCTGCTCCCGTGCGCTAGTTACCAGCGAAGTCAAAGCTAGCGCGAGTCCAATGCTCTGTGCATTCCTGACTCGCGCGTGGGCTCGTGCAGTGTGGGCACGGTTACGGGCTCCATGTGCGCGCTTGTAGCTTCGGCTGCGCTCGCACCGAAGCTGAAACGAAGTATAGTTGAGTTGCACCAAACTCTGGATGTAGTACTGGTAAAGCCCCACCGTCCTTTTCGGAGCACAAAGCACTGTGCGACTCGCGCGACTGCGGTGTCTGCTCCGCGGGTGTCGCTTCTCTGCAGCGCGTCGGTGCATGCCAAGGAGCGCACTCAACGGTTTAACTCGCCGTGATCCGATCGTGACTTCGCCAGCACATCGAAAATGAATCGGAATTTTTGAAGCGAATATCAGATACCGCAATATTTGAAGCTGCTGCCCGAAAGACAACTCTAATCTGAACTAAAACATTCCACAACAGTGAGGGTCGTTAGATGCTGCTACAGATACCTTAAAAGAAGTGCAGGCTGATAAAACTAAATATCCTGTACCATCAGAACTCAGTGTGACATATTTAATTGTATTTTTTTAATCTGACGAGCAGATAAACTTTATTTTAAAAAATGTTTCTTTTTTGTGTTTACTTTGTTGAATTTCATATATCCTGTCTTAAAAAGGCAACAGGCACTGTGTTCCAATATTAGAGATGGGCTGTATATAGCAATGCAGCATTATTTCATTTTCTAGTAATATGCCAACATATGCCGGACCCTGCTTCAAAAGGGACACTACCTGCTCCAAAACAATGTTTTGCCTGCTACAAGGCATGCTTAAAAGGTCAAATGGCACTTCCATCACTGAGAGAGCTATCGTGACACTGCATACCCAAAACGCTCAACCGCCGAAAATGTACTTTACACGTGTAAGAATTTAGCCCATGAAGACAGCTTGTGCCACAAGTGCATGAAGGGAACCTTGGAACTCCTGAGGATTCAAATTGAGGCTATGTTTCTGACACCACAATTCGTGTCACTGTATCAGCAAACTGTGAGAGGCAGCTGAGGGTCGCTTGGCCTCCCCCCCCCCGCCCCCCCCACTGGCTACGTGTCTGGTAGTAGAGTAGTAGTAGTGTATGTTTATTAATTGGAAACAAAAACCAAGATAGCTTGACTAGTGTCATCTTATCTGGCGGGGATGTAAGATGGGAAGTTGGATGGGGTTGTAGGGACAAATCAAATTTACTATGTCAAGTTCACTGGCCTGACATAGTCAAGGAGCGAGTCCGTGAATGAAGCACCATGAAAGAGCTAGCGCCATCTGATAGAGCTCGGAGTGCTGAGTTAGTCTTTTCGTAAAACCAAAACTAGGGTTGCTCTAGTTTATTACTGGCATGCCGGCAGCAAAATTTGAGGCATTCTAAACAAAATAAATTTTAAAATACCCCCTTTTGCACTTGTTTATTGCTGGGAATGCTTCATTAAGTCTGGTTAATGGCCAAATTTATTTTATTTGGAGTTCACAAAAAGAGCTTACGGGGAATCTATGGAGGGATTAAAATTCGTTTGTTAAATCGGGAATTTGGTAAAATCAAGTTTTAACTGAGTAATGAGACTATGTTCCCCTTCCCTTTGCTGCACCCCTCCTGAAGGTCATATGGTACTCGCAAGGCTTTGGATTGGCTTCTGTGGCTTGTAGCACCCTCCAGGGCCTATTGTAAGGTGAAACAAAGTATAGTGGCTCTTGAAGGGCTCTACTTACTGTCGGGGTAACTCTATGTAGCTTTTACGAGAGTGTAGTAATTTTCTCTCTCTGCTCTTGCTGTGCAGCCCTCCAAAAGGCTGGCAAGCACATGGAGCACAGCATCATCTGTGCGTACATTGCCCTGCTGCTGGGCTGTGTGGTCCAGAATAACAAGGTGAGCAGGGAACCGGCCCAGGCAGTTTGGGTGCGCCCATCAGTCTGACCGAATTGCCTGTGGCATCCAAACCTTTTTTTTTCTGTGCAGGAGTTTGCCGAGAAATTACGAGAGCACACTCCGGACGGAAACTTCGTCGTGCTGGTGGAGGCACTCAAGAAGTTCCACAATTTCATCAACCTCACGGTGGGCGGCTTTTTTTCTGCCTTCATTGGGTGTTTAAAACTCTCTATACCACAGGGAAAAGTGGTGTTCTTTAGGGATGGACAAAGCACTTTTTTTAAGAAGTAGCGAGCATATGACTCAGTATGATCCATCAATATGTAGCCAATAAGCCGCTCTTTGGAAGAAAAAAAGGTTTGCACCAATGTCTGGAAACAAGATTTGTCTAATTTAAATGGTGAACTTGGAACTTGTGCAAAACTGAGAACAAATGTCTAAATATTGAGGCTATATCAAATCATACTACAATCTTGAAAAAATCCTGAATGTACAAAGTGTGCCTCATGCACACCACTATCACTTCGGTAAGATAGAAATCTTTAACCAATACTGTCTGTTATTTTTGTTTTTGTTGGCAAGTGGATTTCCATGGGGTCATGTCATTTAAGGAAATTGCATGTCCTCCAAACACTTTTTTTTTTTCACTAAAGCTTAGTTGTTTATATTTTCCTGTGCTGCTGTGTTTATGACTTTCGGCACAAATAAAATGTGTGCCAGCTCAGGAAAGCCTAGAAAGCTAGAACAATGCCCTCTAATGAGCACCCTACAATATTGAGCGCTTCAGAGATGAAATGTCGCTGTAGGAGCTCAAAACAATAGATTCAACATCATCCACAGTCCTCACTGCTGCTGTCATCCAAACAGCAAAAGCAGTTATAAATCACGCAATTCAAGCTGTCTTCGTATTGGTTTCCAGTACAGTCTAAGCTCCTTACAACAGACATTTGGATATAGCATACCGTTTTGTGAAGTTTGGTTGGTTTTCCTCTATGCACCATTGACTCAACTTCATATCTGTATACAACATACTCCTTTTACAACAGACCGAAATCTTGGTCAAAATCAAAGTCTGTTATAACAAGCTTAGACTTGTTGGCAGGGCGCCACGTTTGATAAATGCCACCGCCTCGTAGAGATTTATTTCCGATGACTCAGCAGCTTGGAAGAGATCGCAAAACAAAATCAAAACCGAATCTTTAGTTCCTCGGCTCTCCACCGGATGGCACAAATCGTTCCCGCACACCGAATTTTAATTTTGGCGATGCGTGGGAACCATAGATTGTGTGTGGTAAATAACCAATAAGTGTGGTATAAAAAAAAAAAAAAAACTACAAAAAAAAAATTGTTTTCTTTTTTCTTTTTTATCAAATTTTGGTACAGTGGAGCCTCGTCGATACATTCCTCACTTTATGCGCTTTCCCGGATTTTACGTTAAGAAGCGCCGGTCCCGCCGAGCTCCCTTAGGATCACACATTAATTCCCTGCTTAGTGTGTTTGCTTTGCCGGTTCTTACGTCAAAAAGCTGTCGACATGGCACTGACGGCGCCAGCCAGTTTACAGGAAGGACCGATTTGCAGACGGATCGATCACAAGAGAACACGTCCGCGGATCGTCCACCTCCCATGCACAATCATATGGAGGGGGAGACGACGGATGGCAAAGGCCGACCGAATGACTTAACGACTGCACAGCGGTACCGTCGTCCAAGAGCTAATGTGACGTTTTTTGCTATGGTTCCGGCTCTGTCACATTAATACGAAAAATATTTGCGCACCGCTGTTACATGCCGCTCAAAACAGAACATCCTTGAGAGGCTTAGCACAAAGTGCCACTAGCTTGACTAACCCGAGGCATAACACAGGTGTGGTTCCGCTCGAGGAGGGTCAGAGTTGAAACGAGAGTCTCGGACTTGCTAAAGGGGTGTTCGTCCACGTTCTCATCCCCGCGCGCTCGCGTGCGTGACGTCTGTATACCACAGGCACAAAAAAGACTTGTCCAACTTTGTCAGGTCTCGCTCTTGCCTGATGAGATGCCAGATAAATGTGCAGGGCAGAGTGCGATGTGGCAAACGAGTTTTGACTGAAGCTTCTCGATGCGGGACCTGGAAGAGTACTGGAACCCGCATCTTGTCGGCCGGGAAGAGATCCTGTAGCTTTCCTCATGCGTGGAACCAAGAATTGCGCGACAGAACAAGTCCATGAATGAACAAAAGGGAATGATGTTGCGTCTTTTTTTGCTTGTCAGAAGAAAAAGAAGAAAAAGTGTTGTTGCCAGACAAAACAGTTTTCGAGTAAACCTCCACCAAACATTCGTGAAAAGCGCAGACCGAAACAGCCGAGCGCATTTTCACTCGCATATTTGTTTACTTCAACCACGCTTCAAATATGTTTATTCAGGCAACGAAAAATTAAGTTATTTTTGAAGAGCAGCGTGAAGATGATGCATCATGGTGCTTTGTTCTTTTGTTAGTTTGCTGGTCCATGTTGTCGCGCAGTTCTTGATTCCACGCATTGAGAAAAGCTGCAAGAACTTTGCTTGGCTCACGCGCTACAGGTTTTGGTATTCCTACTATAGTCGGTTACAAGTCAAGAAGGTAGGAGAAGCTCCTCCCACAAGTGTGATGCGCCCGTTTCAAATCTCTCCGCAGTCGAAAGAAGAATTCACTGGAAACGCTCCTTGTTCCGCTTCAATAAATTCCCACTTGTCTCCGATCCCACTTTTTAAGAAGGCGACCTTTGTATTCATTGAAGAGGGAACCGAGCCCCTGAAAGCAGCCTTTGTATCCATCGGGGGGGAAGCTAATCCCCGAAAGTCGTATTTGTTTCCATCGGTGGGGGAGAACTCTAATCTCCCTCTCGTGGCTTCCACAATGCTAAGTCAAAGTCGAAAAGATAAAGCAAATATGTACAGAAAGGCAAGACCCTCCTCGCGCGTTGTCCGCGACGTCACGGAAACGGTGGGACGCTATTGGATGCAAAGGTGGCGGAGGGATATCTGATTCCCTTTGAGGGGCATTTGCCGCTACCTTCTTAACCTGTAACTGACTATAGTCCGTGTAAAGAATCTTCTGTCAAAACTCGTCTAGCACACCATGATCACCTGCACGTGCACTACAGCATGTCATCCAACGAGACCTTTTTGCGGCTTTGGTGTACTGAAGTGTTACGCGCTACTGCACAGGGATGAAGCGACGAGGACGTCGGCTAACGCCCCTCCGCAAACCTACAACTTCATTCCTTGCCTCCGTTTCAGTCACCCAAAGCACCAGGTGGAAATTACTAGCTTTTTCTGAACGTATTCAAGATCACACAGATGTATGTTTACAAACTTTTTCTGGAAGTATTTGAGATCATGCCTACAAACTTTTACAGTATGTTTATTTCAGTTTACACCTACAGATGTTTGCGAACTTTTTCCAAGCCAATTTTAGTTCACACCTACGAATGTTTGCATGAAATAAATTGTTTTGCGACAGTTGAAACCTGTTTCATCTCCAGCACTCCCCAAATGGCGATCTCGTTCCTTATGTTTTCCTGTATCGTACATTATATTTCCCCGGTCGGAGATACAGTAATAAGCATCTGCAATGCTCATTACTGCATCCACAAATTCACAGTCTTCATCCTTGCTTTCCGGGTCTCCAAAAGGGGAAGTAACGTAGACAGGATGACCCGACGGTTTTGGTTGCCTTTAGCAGTTGCCAAATGTGGCCAGCACGGTGAGCTATAGCGGTGCGACATTCTGTGAAGGCAGCCGTCCCGGACAATGCCACTTGTACGTCGTGCGAAAATCTTCTCTCTGGGAAACTGCAGGGAATCGCCCAAGCTGTCAAGATAGGATTGCTGCACCGAATGCTCCGAATGCCATCGCCATGTGCGGTTTACTTTTGCTTGTATCCAACATATAAACGTGCAATCCTCTATAGACTGATTTTATGTGGTATAGCGTCGTGTGCAATATCGTCGTATGCAGATTGCACCGTTGCATGATATGTGGGTGGACTTTTGGCTGGGAGTAGTTTTGAGCCGGGGTCGGTTTCTAGCTCGTAAGCTCATCTCGTGTGCTTCCTTGCTTCTGTGCAGGGCGTCCTCGGAAACACGGCGACCAGGAGCATCCAACGTGTGATAGAGGTCCTAGAGGACAGCTGATCGTGTCCTACAACGTGCAACTTAGGTCAATAGCATGACGCCACCCCGAGGACTAAGGGCGACCCGGTCCGGTCACCGCGCTAGGACGGTCCCCCCCTTCCCTCTCTCAATCTCTGTAGATAACATGAAACATCCATTTTATTGCAGTCTCGTTGTTTTTTGTTTTGGTGTGTTTTTGGCAGTTGTGGTGAAGGTTTGCACTGCGGCTCCCGTAGAAGACTAGTTCTTTGTGTTGGGATGAGACGTGGCTTGGGACGCGACGTGATTAGAGAAAATGCGCGAGCATAAAGCGACGAGAGGTTTTCGTGTCGGGTTGTTTGCTAACGTTCTACCGAGCCGCTCAATTTGGGGGTAAAGTGTCGCGAATACTTAACTTCTTATGTGGCAACCTGTAAAAAGACCCAACTTTTTGTGTCTTTATTTTTTTTTGTCTATTACGGGAGTTACGTTTTGAATGCTGTTCGAAATTTCCCTTTTGGAAGAATCCCCTTCTTGTAATTTCTTTGCATTCGCATTTTAAATTGAAGTTGTTTTTTCTCACATTGTGTCCTGTTTTTGCCCGCATTTTGTTAAATGTTTGGACATCAGAAGGCATAGGGAAAGTAACCAGTGTTCATTCAATGCACTTTTTAACCGGTATGCCAGCTGGTTGTATGCACTTCAGTATTTTGTGTAGTTGGCTCATTTTAGTTTTATCGGTGTTACTGCTCATCTTGGATTTCAGTCGTGACACTGCAGTTGGTTTTGCAACGACGTTGTCTTTACCGGTGTTGGGAAGGCTTCGAGAGCAGGTTGTGCCTAATACTGTAACGCGGTTTTTGTTTTACGCGATGCAAAAACTGAACTTTGAAAAAGGGAAGACACCCGGGAGCTGTGACCGACAACTGGGTTTGGCTCTAGATTCCTGCTTCCCAAGTACAAAGCATTTTCTTTTCAAGTTTGGATCCAAAGAAACTTCATATTCAATAAACCCTTTCTTGAGTGTTGGTTGTTTCATCTAAAAACTGACTTATTGAGCAGATAATGATCCCTGTTAACAATTTGTGGGGTTTGCTTTAATATTTTACTTAAACCGGGTTGTTTACCTTGGTTAAGATTTTATTTCGAAATTTTGTGAGGCCCCTTGTAACGTTTCGTGGCGAACTTTTTGTTACTTATTTATGCACGAAGGATATCCTAAAATGCTTCAGAATCCATTTCTTAAACCATTGCCGTGCAGCTCTTTGTCGGTTCATTGTTTTGTCGGACTCCATGAACTTATCAGCATTTTTGTTTTATATATATATATAATGGGTGTACTACTCTTCCCGTGCCCTGGTCTCGTAGTTTATTTGTACAAAGATAGGTTTGTAAGGGAGTGTAGCTGGGAGTACCGAGGCATGCACCGTGCATTCTCATGACGCACATGCTCTGACCTCCCGCCTGACTGCCCCAACACAGGACTAGGGTAAGAGACGAATCATATTATTCCTTCATTTTACTCTAGAAAGAAGCCGCTGTGCAGCAGGCTGGCTCCGAGTACAGAAGAGGCCTATTTTTTTTGTAGAATCGCACAGCCTGCTGGCCAGCCAGGCGACATGTACATATAAAGCCATCAGTTCCACCCCATTTGCTTTCTTGTACAAGCGTCGCACACACACACCGGCTATTTATTGACTGTAAACACCTCGGTTCATTGGAAGTTGCCTGCTTTTTACAGTTCTGTGCACCCTGTGTTATTCTCGAAGTTGTACAAAGTTCATGCTCCCGTGAACGTGCGCATGGCGTGTGCTTCCCTGTTCCATTATTTCGTTTACCGAGGACACGGTGTTTGTATCGGAATATTTATCTACCGGACGAGGAGCAGAGCATCCAGCGTTCTGAAAGGAGTCAATAAATTTTATCAAAAGATAAAAGATGTGGCTTTTCTCTGTAGGTTGCAGTCTCCACTTCTGAAGCTGAAGTTGAAGAACCTTCCACTATAGGGTAGTGGCCGAGTCAATTGATCGGAGATTGCTTCGTTCCAGTGGTTGTGAAGGATTTGTTTTCTAATCTCTGTTCGGTGGTTTCTTTTGAAATCGAATATGCGTGACTGGTTGGGTGGTTTGATTTTTGTCAAAAATATTTATTATAGCCCCATATCTGTAATGAACAAAACCACTCTTCATCCAAACTTTTAGAAAAAACTTTTTTTCATCAAAAATTTTGAAGTGGAGCAAGGTTGGGAGCTAGGTGAAATGCTACATTCTAGCTGCTTGATTTGCGTACCAAGTTCTATCGGTTGTAAATAGATAAAACCGAAAACATTCACAGTAATTTTTCTTGTAAATATATGACACATGGGCTATTTCCCCCCCCCCTCCCCCCTTTAAAGTAGTAGAATACCGCGCATCCGCCCGTTCCTCATTAAGCGCCCACTCCCAAATTTGTAAGATCTCAGAAAACATTCACAGTGCATTGATATGTAAAATTTATGACCGGACAAGCGCCCATCCCCCACCTTTTTAGATTATCTCTGAACTTTGAGTGGGAGCTTGCCCGGTATTTTATGGTAGCCTGCTTTGGCATATTTTATGCCAGAAATAGAAAAAGTGAAACGTATCATTTTTGATGTTTTGGTGACATGGAGCCTTGTATCTTAGGGTTCATCATAAACTTGACTTACAAAATATATGCCTGTGAGCCTATACCACTACTTGGATATATGTCACAAAATGTTTTTACAACTTTTAAAAATAAATTTAGCTAAGATTCGAGCCAGCTTTATTAAAATTAGTTTTTTTTTATTTGTTTATTTTCTATTGTTTTCAATTAAGTTCACTTTCTATTTGCGACTCCGGCGAACTGTATGGGGCGCGCTAGTAAAGAAAGATGGGGGACGAAAGGAGGTCGTTTTCGTTGTTCAGCACGCAGACATCGTACATTTCTTGGACTACAGCGTAAAATCGGTGTTACATATTAAAGCAAATCAATTTTTCAACAGTAGGAACCTTTTAGTCAGTGCGTAGGAATGACACGGCGGAAGCATAAAAAGAATTCCTGGAAACAATATGTTTCTATTCTGCCTATGAGGACCAAGAAGCGATAGCAGACAGCAGAGTCGAAACGACCTTCTCTCTTGAGCTTCTCGGCGTTGCCACTACTCGGCGTTGATTTCGCTGGAGCTAGACAGAGGTTCATACTCTCGCATCAGGGAGATCAATTAGAGGGAGATGATGCGATACAATATATAGGAGCAGTGATGGAGGAGAAATTTCGGGAACGGGTACATGTGGAAGATAGGAGAACCGAAGGAAGTAGCAGTCCAGTTTGTGACATCGCGGATCGTGGACATAGAGAATGGGAAAAGGCGGAACGAAGAGTCCCTAGTGGCACGTCGACAGGCACAGATGGTATCCCTATCAAGCTGGTGAAGAATTTGGGTCCTAAGTCTAAGGCAAAACTAAGGGAGTCTAGTGAGTGCCATGATAACAAAATTAAATATTCCAGATGAATGGAGGCTTAGTAGGAATGAGTATGATATATAAGGGAAAGGGAGATAAGTCTGATATTAGGAATTATCGTCCCATAACCGTGACACCGGTTATTTACAGGTTGGTAATGCAGATTATAAAGAACAGACTGGAGGAATGGGTAGATTGCGAGGGCATACTGGGCGAGTTACAGAACGGGTTTTGGAAACAAAGAAGGTTGGAGGACAATTTATTTTCTCTAACACAGTGTATAGAAATAGCGCAAAAAGAAAATAGACGGCTCTGGCTGGCATTTCTGGATATCAAGGGTGCCTATGACAATGTGAACCAAAGGAACCTGTGGGACATAATGGAGAGCTTAAACCTAGATGAAGGACTAACAGCACTATTAAGGAACATTTACAAAGATAATAAGGTGATTATAACATGGGAAGGAAAGGCGACAGGGAAAATAGAGATAAGACGAGGCCTTAAAGGCGGGGGCTCAAAATTTTCTTCAGCGTGGCAGAAGATTCCCCCTCTTTTCTTTTTTTCCTCCTCCCCTTTCCTCCTCCATTTTCCTCCTCGCTTTTTACGGCCTTCTCGCACGAGTGCTAATGGGCTTACCGGCCCCCCGACAAAATCTCTGTAACCCTTCAAGGTTCTCTCCTTCAATCCCAAAAACCAGGGATTAGTTAGGCAGGCTGGATGTGAGCTCGGAAGGGTAGTTCGGCGTGGCTCGCTTTTCTTCTTTTTTTTTTTTTTTTTTTGCTCTTTTTCTGCAGTTCTAAAACACACTCAGATAGTCAACACCAACTAGCCCAACAACAAGTTCTTTTACATTCAGATACTTTCGCATGCGGCCACACACGCTACACCACCGCATATTTATCTCGAGTGAACGGAACTTGAACATCACAGCAGAAGGAAAAAAGATGGGTATTTTTATCCGAACTTTGAGCTCTACCCAGAGAGTTGAAAATTTGTCGTTCTAAAAACGGCACACTGAAGAGTGATTATATCACTATTGTGTTTTTTTTGTGTTTTTTTTTTGTACAATGTAATAATCATGAGTAATTACAAGTCAAAGATATTGCAGTCAGAGGGACCTAGTCTGACCATTTCTGGGGCATAATATATAGGTTCGTACTACAGGTGTTTTCTAGAGTGACGGCCGCCTCGTTGAAGCTACTAAGAAGAGTAAAAACAAACTTCCATAAAAACTGAAACGGTTTATGGTTTATTTCATCTATCTTCAGCCTTTGAAAAAAATTTCTTCGTGGCCAAACGTGCATTTAGTTTCTGTCGACAAACGTAACTGAAAACTTCTCACCCGACAAATATCTTGCGTGTCAGCAAAGAGAACGGGAAACACGGAGATAGAACCGCAAAATCACAATTTTCTTCGCGTAAAATAGTGCAACTAGCAATATTATGCCACTAGCAATATTATGCCATTTATTAAAAGACAGCAGGTATTACGAAGTTTTCATTCTCTTCTGTTCGCATTTGTTCGCCGATGAAGAAACGGAATGCCCAGATAGCCTCTGCAGCCCTTACATAATTGTTTGGGGCTTTGTCAGGGTGGGCGAAGGCCATCTCCAAAAAAACCCAGGAGTTCGGAAGGTGTACTACCGCAAGTTTTGGGGCTGCTTGGATAATTTAGGCGTCTGGCGTTCCCCGCCTACTTAGAAAAGGAGTGGAACAGCGGTCAGCTCAACGTCGTCACCAAGCGGGAAATCATGCCGAAATGTGTCCTTGAACACGTGCGAGATCTTTACCCGAACCCAGCCGGGATTCGCCACAATTAATCTACGAAAAAAATTATAAAAAGGGGTAGGCTTAAACGATTTGGCAGTTTTTGAATATAGTCATGCGGACTAACTGTCCACAAGTACGGAAAGAAATGCAGTAGAGATGCTGAGCTCTATTGTGTTCTTTATGTCCATACTTGTCTTTCGCGCTGTACGCCAATTAAAATGAATTCTGCAATATCTGTAGATTATGCCTGGTTATGTTGTCTTTAAAAGAAAAGTAATCAAGCAAGTTCGGTATCGTGCCACAATTTGTGCATATACAATTTTATGTGGAATTCAAATTCAAAACAGTACTTCCGCGGGAAATAATGCATCCGTCGTTCTTCGTCTTCCTGAAGCTATGAACTACCGATCCCGGCTACAGGACTTTTGGGTCCACAAAATATCACGCTCAGTAGAAAATTCGCCTTTTCTACCAAAAGTACTGAAAATTATTTATTTTTCAAACAGGTCGGGTGGTGATGCGTGTTTGAGTGTAGAACCGTTGACTGGGCACTGGTTTGCGCCAAGAGTGCAGTGCTTCCTTCCATGCTGCCCGCGACGAGTGTTGAAATTTGAATATAGTAGAAACAAAATCAACTGACACCCTTAGAATTATTTTAAACTTGCGCTTTTTTCAGGCATTAATATTTTTATCGCACCTTTTATTCATTGTCGTCTTCGATGAGGGAACAACTTGCCGAGGAGGCCGCGCTGTCCGCGTACGCGCCTTGACAGATAAGGTCGCGAATGCTTTTCACGAATCTTAAAAGACCAAGCATAAAAATGAGAGACGCAGCCACTTTACGCCAATGAATTAAGCCAACTTTATGTTTTGGGTAGACGTCTTGCGAGAGTTGCAGTATTTTTAATTATGCCTAATAAATTAAATGTTTAGGACTAAGTACCAAACTTTTTTAGATGTATTAAGAACCAAAATGTCAATTGGAAAGTTCTAGAGCTGCTTGAGAAACACCCGAATTAGCTGTTTGCAACGTGATGCGGCTCGCGTGGCTTCCTTCTGACTAGTAATAAAGCTTATGAAACATGACAAAATACCCCGTGATAAAGCGCCCGCCCCATCATAAACTCAATTTCGAATGTCCCGGGATTTGTTTTCATAGGCCGGAAAAAAAAAAAAAGAGATGCATGCAAGACGCGTGCCCCACGCTTTATTTATATCAGAAAAGAACTGCCCTCTATTTTATATACAACGTTTTTTTGTGTGTGTCTTTTTTTTCACCTACTAGATATTAGAAAAAAAACGTGGAAATTAACGTTTTGTGGATGTGAGCTAAACGGCCAGGCGAAGATTGGGTTCAAGAAAGAACGCAACAAAAACCGACTGATTACCTAACATTTGTTAATAAACTTTTTGATTATAAAAGAAAACGGGATAGTTGATTTATAAAGTTGTTGGGCGTAATCGAAAGCCACCAAATTGTCCAGTGAAAATTAGCGCCATTGCGGTTTGTGTAGGTGAGCTATACGGCCAGGCGAGGATTAGGTTCAATAACGAACGCAACTAAAACCGACCGATTGCCTAAAATTCGCTAATTAACCTTTTAATTAGAAAAGAAAACGGCATCTTGTATTTAGAAAGTTGTTGGCCATAATCGCAAGCCACCAAACCGTCCATTCTTAAAAAGATGTAACGCGCGTACACTA